AGCGTGAGTGCATCTCAATCCATGTAGGCCAGGCTGGTGTTCAGATGGGCAATGCCTGTTGGGAGCTGTACTGTCTGGAGCATGGCATCCAGCCTGATGGCCAGATGCCCTCAGACAAGGCTATTGGCAGTAGTGATGACTCCTTCAGCACCTTCTTCAGTGAGACTGGTTCTGGCAAGCATGTACCCAGGGCAGTGTTTGTTGATCTTGAACCTACTGTTATAGGTGAGGATATTTTGTTTATTCACTAGATGCATAGTTATGCAGACAATCTTCCCTAACCATAACAATACCTGGTACATAAAAGGGGGGGTTGACATGCTATTGTTTTGTATGTACAGTCACCCAAAAAAGTCCTGTCGTGACCCATGAACCCCAAGATTCAGACTCTTGAATCAAAAGCATTTATGGACCGAATAATGTATGTCTACTGCTTCGGGTTCACGAGTCTGAATCATGGTTTGCGACAGGACTTTTTTGGGTGACTACTTATATACATGTCCAGTCTCCCCATAAGTCCTGTTTCAGAGATTAACTCCTGCACTCTTTTTCTGCTCCTCTTTTTTTCTTCTTTCCTTTCCTGCTCTGCTTTCTGACCCAATTACATCCTGAAAAGTGCCTTTAAATCCTGGCAATACAAATGGCTCCTGGTTTTATATTGTTAGGACATAATTTTCCCACTGTTATGAACCAGTAGGTTTTTTCCTTTTTGAGAGCTTAAGAAGGTCTGGAATGTGCTGCAGTGGAATGAATTGTCTTGTGGAGTTCAAAGTTGATCCAGTCTTGCTTTATTTTTTCACAATTTGACTTTAATAGTATTAATCTTAAGTTATTCATTGTTTTTTAGAAGTTTGGCAAAAACTATCATACTATGCAAATAATTTTTTGGGGTCTTTGGTTGATTTGAGTTCTTGGCATGGTTATACAATAAGCATTCATCTAGATTGCTATTGCATCGGCACATAATTTTGCCAGCAACTTGGTATCATCCACACAGAAGTCAGTTGGTTGGAGTACAGTTCAGCTCATAAATTTACATGCCTCTTTCCATATCCATCACAATCAGGAGTCTAATTTGCTTTGCTACTCCTTTTGGTGTTGCATCACTTGAGGACTCCTCAGCCTGCCATTTTTTGAAATTGGATAACTTGGTATGTTTAAGTTCTGTACATGGGATTAGAATACAGTAGTTCAGGGAAAAATTGGAAAATGTCAAATATGTTTGTGGACAGATTTCCATAGAATGAGATTTGTGGGTTTGATTAAAAAAAAAAAAAAACTTCCTAACTTCGTGTTTGAACATAAGGGGTAAATTTACGATTAGTTGCTTAAAGGTGTTGTGGTGGTCACTGGCTAGGGATGCTGCAGGCTACCGGGAAGGCTGTTCAGTTGGCACTATTGAAAGTTTTATGGTCCCAAGTAATGTTTGTGGGCAGACAGTATCCTAATTCGATATAAAAGTGCACAATCTTAAAGGGTTCATGATTATCTGTCCTACCTAAATGTGTTTATTCCTTGAAGTGGATACATTGCAGTTGAAGTAAATAAACCTGCACCATAATGAACAAAATAATTGATATGGGGTAAGATCATTTTGCTTGGTTTTTAGGTTACTTTGTTTATTCATGTAGTTGACCATTTGACATTAGCCAGTGATGTCCGAGGAATGAGTAAGGTTATATTCTACTGCTTTTCAATATTTAAAGTCCTGGACTGTCTTTTTGAACATGAAGCCCTGCTTCAAAAATTGTGTACTTTGAAACTCAAATTGGTATGCACCAACCTGAAAGTGGGTTTAAATTTTGTTATAAGGTATAGATTTGGTTATTGGAATGTGAATGTTGCTGAGCTTTACATTTATTCTTACTTGATACAATGCTATAAAATGTGAATCCACAATTTAAGCTTGGCTTGCAATAAATGTTTTAATGTGCTGGTAGCATACTTATACAGTATTGTGTAATGAAAATCCTATGTACAATCCTGCCTATTTACTCGTACCTGTATTTGAATGATTAGTACTGTACTGTTTGGTAACTGACCAGGATGGTTACACAAGATTTGCAGTTGGTGTAAAAGGATTTTTCTGAATCTTGAGCAGTCTAATAATTATGTATTGCTAATGTGGGAGTGTCAAATGTTTAAGTAGCTGGGTTTTTTAAATATATTAAGACCTTTAAAGCAACTGGCTAGTATCCATTGTCCTTGTTTGGTGTTGAAACTGACAGATCTTTTGACAAGCATGACAAGTACCACACTGCATTTAAATGTGTGATGGGTATTTTTCCCTCACTGTAAATGTTGAGTTACCAGGCAATCTAGTAGATGAAGACCTACTAAAGTATTAATCTAAAGTCCCCTTTTAGTTCAGTGATTAAAGTTGGTAACCTTTGTTCAAGGACTTCATTGCTCTTGATTCTTTCCGCTGACATTTATTCTTTCTACAGATGAAATCAGAACTGGTGTGTACCGTCAGCTGTTCCATCCTGAGCAGTTGATCACTGGGAAGGAAGATGCTGCAAACAATTATGCTCGTGGTCATTATACAATTGGCAAGGAAATTGTTGACATAGTACTTGACCGCATCCGCAAGCTGGCCGACAACTGCACTGGTCTTCAGGGCTTCCTAATATTCCATTCCTTTGGTGGTGGCACTGGCTCGGGTTTTACTTCTCTGTTGATGGAAAGGCTTTCTGTGGACTATGGTAAGAAGAGCAAGCTAGAATTTGCAATTTACCCAGCTCCTCAGGTTGCTACAGCAGTTGTTGAGCCCTATAACTCCATTCTGACCACCCATACGACACTTGAACACTCGGACTGTGCCTTCATGGTTGACAATGAAGCCATCTATGACATCTGCCGCAGAAACTTGGACATTGAACGACCCAGCTACACCAATCTCAACAGGCTGATTGGCCAAATTGTTTCCTCAATCACTGCTTCTCTTAGATTTGATGGTGCACTAAATGTAGACCTAACAGAGTTCCAGACAAACTTGGTGCCTTACCCAAGAATTCACTTTCCCCTCGTTACATATGCCCCTGTAATCTCTGCAGAGAAGGCTTACCATGAGCAGCTTTCTGTATCAGAGATCACAAATGCCTGCTTTGAACCTGCCAACCAGATGGTAAAATGTGACCCCCGGCATGGAAAGTACATGGCGTGCTGTCTTCTCTACCGTGGGGATGTAGTGCCCAAAGATGTTAATGCAGCTATTGCTACAATAAAAACAAAAAGAACCATTCAATTTGTGGACTGGTGTCCTACAGGCTTTAAGGTTGGCATTAACTACCAACCACCCACTGTTGTCCCTGGTGGTGACTTGGCCAAGGTATCCCGAGCAGTGTGCATGCTGTCAAACACTACTGCCATTGCTGAAGCTTGGGCTCGTCTGGACCACAAATTTGATTTGATGTATGCCAAGCGTGCATTTGTCCATTGGTATGTTGGTGAGGGAATGGAGGAAGGAGAGTTCACAGAAGCTCGTGAAGATCTTGCTGCTCTTGAGAAAGATTATGAAGAGGTTGGTGTTGACTCTGCTGATGCAGAGGGTGAAGAGGAAGGGGAAGAGTATTAAATGATACCTGTGAAAACCCCTAACATTCCATTTCATCTTAGAAGTCTGTCCTAATAAAATTTAATTTGAGATCTATTTAATTATCCTTCATTTGTGCTGTATGTAGATAAAAAAAAACTGCTACTGAATGAACCTTGTACCCCACAAATTGGAAGTAGGGAGATTGTTCTGTACATTGAAAATTAACATGACTATTGCTGCTGAATTATATAGAATACAATGTAAAAATCTGACTTGATGCCTAGAAAATGGGGGGGGGGGGTTCGTTATAAATGTAGCATCAAATGTCAAGGAAAATTGGCATAGTGAAGCCAGGTGGGCATGAAAATTTAATTCCTTCAGAAATTCATGGGAGGTTTAAATGGAATTGGAAATTGGTCACCACCACAAAAATTGGATCGGCACGTTTATTAAAACATGCATACTGTACTGTAAAGTTGTGCCTGCATTATTACTGCAGTGATATTTTCTGACATTAGGTATAGTACAGTATACGGTTATCACTTCAATATTTATTTTTACGGGGATTAGCCCACCCGGGCACAGGCCAATGACTCATCGGGGCCTGGTGGGCGAAAATGTGCTAATAAATCATGGTAAATAAATTTAAAATAGACAACTTGAAAATAAAATAACATGTTAACCATAAAGAAATGCAAAAATAAAAAGTGAGAACAAATATATAAAGGCACGTGTCAGTAGCAAGAGAAACGATTAAGACCCTGCAATTGAGGCAGTCAGATCAGCAACCTGGGACTTTGCAACAATTTTCGTGATGCCATATGGCAGCAGGGTCTACCATTAGACTATACTTTATGCTTTCAATATCTACAACTACCTACTACGCTTGCGCGGTTTCGCCTTGCACTCCCGTCTTTCTTATTAGTCTGATGAAAAGTATTTGTCTTTTTTGGGTAAAGTAAATTCTTACTGTTAAGCATGAAAATTCCCATTAAACGTGCAACAAACTCACCCTCTACGTACAAGGAGGAAACTTATATATTGAGGTCATTGCTCGGGAGTTTGGTGCCACCCTTCTCTTGCAGGTCCTGCCAGCAATAACCTTAAATTCTAGAGAAATGTTCTACGGTTATTAGACAGCTCAATGGCGCTCAATTCTAGTCGCCTTGATATAGGGGACTTTTCGATGGTGACATCGACTGGAAGAATGAAAACGGGCGAATTAAGCCGGCGAAGAGGATAATAAAATGACAGTAAGAGCGAGCCTGGCGCTAGGACGATGACCTCAATATAGAGTAATGCTTGGATGCAGAGGGCGAATTTGTTGCAGGTTTTATTTTATTTCTCCTCTGTAAAACGATATTTCTAGACCTATGTGTTTAAATATAGGCTTTGACATCATATATATGTTTAATAGTAATACTATATACTTAAATAAGCCGAACACTTGAAAAGATAGTCCGCATGGGTTGTTAGATCGTTCAGCCCGTGACTCCGTGAGCTGTCCCATCACTTGTTGCTACGAGGAGTCTTGTGACGGTGTAGCTGGAGGAGTTACGAATAGAGTTGTCAGACTCGATCATTGGCGAAGAGAATAAAGGTAATTGATTCGCATAGCTAATGAGAAAAGTAGTTACCTAGCTGCAGATAATTTTTTATTTATTTTTGGCGGGTATTGTACTTGACAGGACACCAATTGGAAGTACTGGAGGGTGTTCATAGCTTAAATCTACTGTGCTGTAAGTTGTATGGCGAGTTTTAACTTCCGTAAGTATTTATCTACTTTTTTATTACCTAATAATTATGATAGGTAATTATATAGGACTAACCCATGAGCGAAATTGATTGAAAACAATTCTAAAAACATAGGATTCTCATCGTTATATTATAGTGGAGACTTGTAGTTTGTGGAAATATGTAAAAAAAATTAATGTTTTTTAAATAAACGCTATTTAACATTTGTGGGTATGAAGAACAGACCTAACCAAACAAACCTACCTAACTTCCCCTGTATATTAAACAAAGAACTTACTACGATATGGTGAAATTTGAGACATTTTCTGGAGATGATACGACCGCATCGGCGCTATGCAGCCCTGGCGGGTTAGTCCTTTATATTAACCGATAGTAATAAGTGAAAGTTGAAAAAGGGTAGTGAAAGTGATCCGTATTCTTGAATAAGGTACTGTACAGATATACAGTACGTAAAAACTACCATACAGTAATACTGTACTGGGATACAACCCATTTCGCTACCACTATCAAATCCGTTTCGTCACCACTAACAGTTACTGGTATTAGGGACAAATTCCTTATTTTACACGAATAGAAATTACACATGTATACAGACGACTCGAGAAGTATTGTATTATTATTATAGTACATGAATATGAATTATTTAATAAGGAAAACGTTTAAAACATTGGTAAATACAAAATACAGAACAAATTAAGATTTGTTTTATTTCTATACATGAATATTAATTGTTTAATGAAAACGATTCAACATTGTTAAACAAAATACAGAACAACTGAAGGTGATTTGGCACCAGTGCATAAATCACCGAGCAGTGAGAGGATTGCAGGCGTATTAACGTTTTTATTTTTTTACTAGCAGGATCGCTGCCCTCCGGGTGGCTCATCCGCTAGGCAACGGTAGGACGCCACCCTCCGCGAGGCTCCACATTGTCTCACTGTCAGTCCCTAAAACAACTTCTTCCTTCAATAGTTCATTAACGGTGTATGTAAGTTCCACCATGTTTTTCACTACAACGGTACAGCAAAGTATATTTTTTTAGCATTAAACTGTTATTGTTTTATTGTCTAATCATCACTACATATAACACCACCCATCATCACTACATATAACATCATCCATCATCACTACATATAACACCATCCATCATCACTACATATAACACCATCCATCATCACTACATATAACACCATCCATCATCACTACAGATCGGTAAAGTAGTTTCCGAGATTCTCGTGTGGACACAACAGACGCACACACACACACACACACTTCTTTGTATATATATATATATATATATATATATATATATATATATATATATATATATATATATATATATATATATATATATATATATATATATATTCTCGTCCTTAACAAATTGTCTTGGTGTCTTTTACTGTTTTCTAACCTAAGCAACAGTTATTTTTGTGTATATATTGCTGGGAATGAACACGGTGACGAAACAGGTTAAAAATAGTGGTGACGATACTGTACTGTACTAGTCACGCCATGCACTGTACTACTTTTTATCAGTTGCAGGTATATCAATCATCGGTATTATTTTACTTTCGGATATAGCGCCCTTGAAAATTATAAACTACTGAAGCATTTAGATCTCGCTATTCTGAGCATTTTGAACCCTATATATACATGGAAGAAATGGATAATAGAGCCACAATTGAATTTAATTGATTTTAAGTAGTTTTCAGTCCTCGTCTGTGAGATGATCATATCGGCGCATCACGCATGCGCAATGCTGACTGACATCATCCAGCCGTGACCAATGAGGTATTGATATCATTTTAAGTTTATTGCCGAGTTTTACCAGAAAGATGATCATTTATCCCTGGACCTTCCACTTCTAACTAAGGTATTGGAATTTCGGACATGGCGCGCCCCAAAGTTTTTAACCAATGAAACATTTAGGTTAGTTTAAGCTAGGCCTACCGGGGGTCCGGGGGCAGAGCCCCTGGCTAGGTGTCAGGTTAGGCCTACCTGGGATCCGGGGGCAGAGCCCCTGGCTAGGAGCTAGGTCAGATGACTCGTTTTCGTTTTCTCCCCCACCCAAAAACCCCAATTTTCCAGGCTCTCCCCTATTACTGGCAAAAACTATCAATTTCCGCCAAAAATGAAGGTCAGATTTGTTTAAAATACACTGGAAAAACATATTGGTCAACCCCTAGAGACTCATGTCCTCAAGTAAAAATTTACCCAATCATCTCTGAATTCAGTGTTGATATACTGTACATTTTTTCTTGCTGTAATGACCCAGGTATTGACGGCCAGAAAAAAAAATCCACCAACCAAGTTATGTTTTTACCGTAGATTTATTTTTTACTCCTGGTAGACTGGGGAAGAGAAATAGAGGAATAAAAAAAAATTGTATCTGTAGGTTAGGTTAGGTTAGGTTAAGTTGAACTAGATTAGGTCAACTTCGAAGGTGAATATGAGAAGAATGTGGATGGGTCAGACAAATAAGCAAAATAAAAACATTGTACAAGAAAAGTGTAGGAGAGGCACTCAACTTTATTACTCAGAATATTTTTTATGGGTTTGTTTTAATGTAATGCACAGAATTTGATTCCAATGGGAAGCAAAAATTATAAGGTACAGTCAATATATTGTTTACACAAATGATGATACCTCTACTGTATACTGTATGTCCAATAGAATAACAACAGTTTATCTTGGTAAAGCCTGTGTAAGTTAGGTTTGGGCGCATCTTGCTGTCTTATGTAAAATATGATTTAGTCCGATAACAGAAGTGGATCCAAGGGGGTTTGTACACACCCTTCGTTTCTCATGAAACAGTGCAACCCAGTGCAAGGTTTTGTAAGGAAAACTGATGACCAGCTTTTTTGCTCATACTTAACAGTGAAGCAAATTCTTTTTAAATGGAATTACTTGGGCATGAAGATTGACTAGAGGGTGAAGATGGTGAAGTTAACTTTTACTTTTATCCTCTTCACCACTGATCGGCTCGTTAGCCGCTTGGGCGAGCGGCCACGTCTCTGTTATGCACTGTTGGCAAGTACTAGGCATGCACCGGCTCCTGAATGTACCTGAACCTGCTCCAGTGTTGGTCAAGTCTGGTCTTGAAAGAACTCGCACTCGGTGCCATCACAACACACTGGCAGACTGTTCCAAGAGATCACAACTCTCACTCTGAAAAAGTTTGCCCTCACAGTTTTCTGCACCTGCGGCTTCTTCAATCTTGAGCTGTGACCCCTTGTGGGGCGAGCGTCCACCAGCTCCATGTAAGGACACTCGACTGAATAGTACCGCTTGAGATGCTTACTAGGGATATGCACCTCAATTAGGTCGCCCCTTACCCATCTGTAGTATAAGCTGGGCAGGTTCAGGCGCTCTAATCTCTCAGGGTAGCTAAGGTGCCGAAGTGCAGGCACCAGTCTGGTGGCCCTCCTTTGAACATTTTCAACCAACTGACAGTCCCTAGTATATCTCGGGGACCAGACGGGGTGACAGTACTCCAGATGGGGAAGCACTTCACTCTTGAAGATCTGATATCTGAATGATCTTCTTATAAGACCTAATAATTTATTTGCCTGATTTACCTTCTTCTCACAATGGTCCAAGAACTTCAGCTCGTTGTCAACATACACACATCCCGTTAGGTTCTTCTCACATTCAGTCTCAAATAGTGCCGTTTCTTCATCCCGTTGGGACATATAAAGGTAATTGCCAACCCAGGGATAGATCCAGGGGGGTCCTGGGGGTCTGGACCCATCTTTTCAGCATAGAATTCCAATACAGTACTTTTTCTTTAGTGCAGTATTGTACTCAGGCATTTTTATATAGTAAAAAGTTATTACTCTTGACCTCAGATTATCTCCTGATAATCAAGTGCACATGGCTTCAAAATGACCACAAAATGCCCATGGGTGGGCTCACTATGGTCGCCATAGTCCACCACCCACAACTTCCTGCAATCATCTCCTTGGTATGCAGTGACAGGTGCACCTCGTCCAATGTGAATGGCCCCAGGCAATGTATCATACCAATTGAAGTCGCCTTAATTTAAAATATAGTACACTACATTCTCTCTCTCTCTGCATATACAGTGGTCCCTCGGTTAACGATTTGCCTTCCATAAGATTCTTAACTTCGGTTAACGAGCAATCCCTCGATTAACGAGTTTTTTATGAGCCGAGTTCAACATGTTTTTGCTTGCATTTGGCGGTGCACCAGCTGTAGTATTAGTCCGCCAATACAGTAATCGGTTTTAGGGCTTAAATTCCTTACTATTTTAGTAAATATCAAGAAGTTTATACTATTCAATAATTTTAAAAGTTTAATATTAACTTTTTTAGTCATTCTAACAATTATTGAACATAATTGAAGGTAAAGAAACTAGTTTCTGGCATGCCATCCAGCCTGTTAACACACCAGACAGGCGTTAGTCTCTCTCTGTTTTCACTGGAGGTAACATCTTGCTTGAGACTCTTCAACTAAATGCTTTTTTTCTGTGTTTCCAAGCAAATTATTGGTCATTTTGAAATTTATTTTACATATTGACAATATATTATGCAGTGCAGTGTTGATTTAAAGAAAATAATCTTGAATTACACCAAGAGAACTAAAATTTTATGGGTGAAATGGTGCCATGGGGTGACTTCTCTTCCACCCCAATGCCTTCTCTTCTTCCTTCTCCTCCACCCCCATTCTAATTCCCATCATCATCATCCAGGAGCCTTCTACATACACACCTCAAAGTAAGTGTACTTTTCTACCTTTTTTGTTGAATTTAGGCAATTTTCGGTGAGCTGGAACCAATTACCCAAAAAACCATTGAAACAATGGTTTTGGTTAACGAGCAACCTGCTGGAACGAATTGTGCTCGTTAACCGAGGGACCACTGTACAGTATCTTGCAGAGTTTAATATTTGTGTTTTTTATTTTTTTTAATACCTCTGTACATTCATATAAGAAATGTTAAAAAAAACCCAATAATGCTAGTTTAATGTTGCTGTTGCTGGTTATTGTCCCATTAGGTTTGGCATCTATACAGTAAAGTGAGTGAGGTGTATCTGAAAGTTCCTGTAAAAAGATTGGGAGTTATAAGGTAGTGCCCTTATTCTACACCTTCATTGATATACAGTAGACCTTTGCCATTTGTGAGGGATAGGTTCCAAGAAATGGCGCGAATTGGCAAAACCGTGAATGGCAACTTATACTACCTTAGTGCACTACTGTATACTTATACCAAACATTTGATCAGCGATGGGCAGCACTCATACCCTCTTTTAACTTATCTAATAATAAAACTTTGTCAGGGTCATCACTGACTTCTGCCTTTTACATTTCACCCCATAGGTATCACAAGCACTGACACTAGGCAGTCTTTTAGGGGCCATTTTACACAGAAACACCAAATATTTGAGAGTACAACACGAGATCCTGCGTGGGATGACTCGTTGTGCTGTGAGAAAAGGCTTGCAAGCTGCCTCGATAGCCACCATCAGCTTACCGTGAATTGCAAACTTGCGAATGGCAAGAGTCTACTGTAGTACAGTACCTTGTTTGGTTTCTACATTCAGTATATCTCCACATATTTATTAGCCCCAAATTTCAAGGAAAATAGGTTTTTTTATGATGCTGAGAGGGAATCAAAACTTAATTATAATTGTGCAAAGCTTCTAGATATAAAGCAGATCTAAATGATTGTTAACAAATGGCAGTCGTGTGCGTATGGCATTAAATTATCTGTCAAAGATGTTATGAACCATACTGATATACTGGGGGTCCCCGGGTTCTATTCCTGAGGATGTTCTTAAGTCGGAACACATGTTATGCTCATACAGTACCGTAATTACAGAACAATGTTTAAAATTACACTATATCATAGCCTAAGTCCTTATATACATCTAAAATCACTTAATTTAAGAGAAAAGAAGAAATCGAATGACAATTTACAGTAAATGAAGGTAAAAGATAAGTCATCAGGTAAGTAAAATATTGTAGCTTTTGAGTTTAACCCTGTTCGTATCGGGGGGCGTTTGTAAGTACAGTGGTCCCTCGGTTAACGAGTGCTTCGGTTAACGAATTACCTTCCATAAGATTCTTAGCTTCGGTTAACGATCAATCCCTCGATTAACGAGTTTTTAATGAGCACCCCTCCACATGTTTTCGCTTGCATTTGGCGGTCCACCAGCTGTAGTACAGTATTAGTCCACCAATACAGTAATCGGTTCTAGGGCTTAAATTCCTTACTATTTTATTAAATATCAAGAAGTTTGTACTATTAAATAATTTTAAAAGTTTTATACTAAATTTTTTAGTCATTTTAACAATTATTGAACATAATTGAAGTATAGGAAGCTGGATTTTTGCGCGCCAAACAGCCTGTCAACACACCAAACAGGCGTCAGTCTCTGTCTTTTCAGTGGAGGTAACATCTTGCTTCAGACTCTCTTCAACTAAATGCTTTTTTTCTGTGTTTCCAAGCAAATTATTGGTCAATTTGAAATTTATTTTACATATTGACATTACAGTATATAATGCAGTGCAGTGTTGATTTAAAGAAAATAATCTTGAATTACACCAAGAGAACTAAAATTTTATGGATGAAATGGCACCATGGGGTGACTTCTCTTCCACCCCAATGCCTTCGCTTCTCTCTTCTCCCATCTCCTCCACCACCATTCTAATTCCCATCATCATCATCATCATCATCATCATCCAGTAGCCTTCTACATACACACCTCAAAGTAAGTGTACTTTATTACCTTTTTTGTTGATTTTAGGCAATTTACGGTGAGCTGGAACCAATTACCCAAAAACCCATTGAAACAATGGTTTCGGTTAACGAGTTTTTCGGTTAACGAGCAACCTTCTGGAACGAATTGTGCTTGTTAACCGAGGGACCACTGTAGGACATTCGTAAGTTGGGGACCCCCTGTACTGTAATTTCATGGTCTTGGGTTGATTTTTAGTTAAAGTAAATTAATGTTTAGATTTCTTCATTAAATGGTTTTAACACTATAGTACAGTCGTTTAATAGGTAAGATTTGTAAGTAATGGTTCTATGCTTGAAAGGTTAGCACACGATTGTAAATACTGTACAGGTACAGTACAGTACAGTAATTTTAAATGGTACAGTAGCTCTTTTCTTACTGTAGGAATGACGGTAGGTTCACCGCCTTTAAAAATCTATAACAAACTTATTTTGCTTGAAACTTGGGGCTAAAAAGAATGTTGAGTTATGTCTAAATACAATATTACTGATGATAGATGTCAGAAGACAGATCATAGGTTGATATGCTCTACTTGTTAATGAGAATATGAACTAATACTTTTAACAGGTGGGTTTGATGAAAATAAAATGAATCAAGAAACACCACATGCAAGAAATACCTGTAGAAATGGTGAACCAGAAGGAAGTGAGGACCTCTTGCCCAAGAAAGCCCACAGGAAAGTGACTGCAATTGTCGTCGGTGCAGGTATGGTACTTGCCATTTACAATGTATATTACTGTTACAGGTGCAATATTAGGAAGTGACAAAGTTATTTCAGATTTGGAATAGGTATTTAGATACATAAGAACATAAGAATGGAGGAAACTTCAGCGGGCATATTGGCCCATACTGGGCAGTCCCATTTACACCCAACCCCTATTGCTCATATATCCATCCAACCTATGTTTGAAGCTATCCATCGTATTCGAGTCAATAATGATGTTTGCTAACTTGTTCCATTCATCCACTACTCTATTTCCAAACCAATGTTTACCTATTTCGTGCCTAAATCTAAATTTGTCTAATTTAAAACCATTGTTACGAGTTCTCTCCTGGTTGGATAGTTTGAGTATCTTTGTTACGTCCCCTTTGTTTAGCCTTGACTTCCATTTATACACCTCTGTCTCTCGAGGGAGTGCAAATTAAGACTTTTTAACCTGTCTCTGTACTCGAGGTTCCTAATGCACGGGATTAGTCTTGTCATTCTCCTCTGAATTCTTTCCAATGATTCTATATCCATTCTGTAATACGGTGACCAGAATTGAACTGCGTAATCCAAGTGAGGTCTCACAAGCGCTAGATATAATTTTAAGATGACCTCGCTAGTCTTGTAACTAACACTCCTTTGTATGAACCCAAGTACTTTATTAGCCTTTTTTCGAGCAAATACACATTGCTTACTTTGCTTAAGATTCCTACTTATCATTACTTCTAAATCTTTCTCACATTCGGATTTCTCTATAACATCGTTGTTCATCTGATATCTGGTTTCTCTGTTTACATCTCATAGACTAAGTACTTTACATTTGTCCACATTGAATTTCATCTGCCATTTTTCAGACCATAAAAAAAAAATGTCTAGATCTTCCTGTAGTTTTGCGGAGTCTTCGTCAGATTTAACTACACACCCTATTTTAGTGTCATCAGCAAATTTACTTATGTTGCTGCCTACTCCGATATCTATGTCGTTTATGTATATAATAAATAATAATGGTCCAAATACAGAGCCTTGGGGTACTCAACTTGTGACGTTACTCCAATCGGATTTAGTGCCGCTAATCCTCACTCGCTGTTTTCTGTCCTGTAACCACGCACTTAGGCCCGGATTATGGGTAGGGCGTACCGGGCTTACTCCCAGGGCCCCCCCACATCTAGGGCCCGCCCACAACATTGTAAAAAAAGTTTTAAAAACCTTTACCACAGAGCGATAAACAAATGGAACAGATTGCCTCACACTCGCTGTGCACCACTTACGTAACTCCACCAGGCCGCCACAAATATTTCCTACAAAACTCGTGTTTGGTGAACTGATTTAACTTATTTAACACAGAGATTAAAATAAAATAATAAAATGGCTGTATAAACAAGTGAACACTACACCACACAAACTTCTTCAAGATCCAAAACTAATTCTTCAATCAGCAGTAAATTCCCTGGTTTTATGCCGGGGCGCTCCTGCTTAACACAATTGCTCAAGGTATTGGATATTTGGACCCATATTCTGGAACAGGGTGGTAATATCGACAATATTTACCTAGATTTTGCCAAGGCTTTCGACTGTACCCCACGAAAAGCTGAAAATCATACTGGAAGGGTACGGAATTCGGGGAAATGTCCTAGTGTGGAGAAGACTTTCTACATGACCGCAAGCAGTGTGTGGTGATCAATGGCACGAAATCGTCATCTGTACCTGTCACAAGTGGGATACCACAGGGCAGTGTATTGGGCCCACTGTTGTTTGTTTGTTTCATAAATGACATATCTGACTTTGTACACTCCTCCATACAAATGTTTGCCAATGACGCAAGTTATTTCGGGAAATTAAGAACCAAGCGAACTGTGAAGAGCTGCAGAAGGACCTCTGTGGGCTCCAGGAATGGTTGAAGAAATGGCTGCTGAGATTCAATGTCACGAAGTGTAATTGATTTTGATTTTGCTGCTTGCAGCGGCTACTTTATTGTGCACCCCACACTCATCCTGTGAGCGGTAGCGCAAAAGGATTACAGAGTAGGGTTTACAAAGGGTCATAATAATTAACCCCCGTTGTCAGGATATTATGACACTGAATGTTACACAGTATTTCATTTACATTATTTGTTTAGTTCTGTACATAAAGGGTAACTTATTCACAAATGCGTGAGTACAGGCGTGTGAGGCAGTATGTCTGGCCTCACACTTTGTTATTCACATTTACGGGAGGTATTCAAGCACATTGCGTATTTGGTTCTGTACATGAGAATTGATATAGTTACTAAGTGCAAAAAAGTGGATACAATCTTAATATGTCGGCTATCTTGCCATTAGAGATGAAGTGTTGTGCCATTTCACACACAGTGTGCTTGGACCTGTCCTAAAAGGTTCTATCTTCACACAGTCGAGGACGTAGTGTTCAAGTGTGTGGCCATATGTATGGCCACACACTTTACATTTAGTTTTGTTTACATCTGCTTGAGGAACATACTGCCAAAGGTACTTATATCCTAACCTTAATCTAGCGGTTACAACATCTTGTAATCTAGTGATCTTGTTACTTGCTCCATATACACGTTTCACTTGATACATCTCATCATGGTAACCTATGGATCAACTAGTGCCTGTTTGCACTTGTCTACTTGCGTCAAACTCATCAATAAGTTCTTTCCTAATTACAGTTTTAAGGGTTCTTTTTGACAGACCCAAATTGTATTCAACGGTGTCTTTGTTAGACGCGAGTTTGGCAAGGGCATCAACTCTGTCATGTTACGAAGTGTAAGAGGATGCACCTGGGGCGTACCAACGGTAAGGAGGTGTATCATATGTCCCAACGGGATGAAGAAACTGCACTAGTTGAGACTGAATGTGAGAAGGACCTAGGTGTGTATGTTGACAATGAAGCTGAAGTTCTAGGGCCATTGCGAGAAGAAGGTAAATCAGGCAAATAAATTATTGGGTCTTATAAGAAGGTCGTTCAGATATCTAGACAGTCCATCCCTCGTAACGATCTTCAAGAGTGAAGTGCTTCCCCATCTGGAGTACTGTCGCCCCGTCTGGTCCCCGAGATATGTCAGTTGGTGGAAAATGTTCAAAGGAGGGCCACCAGACTGGTGCCTGCACTTCGGCACCTTAGCTACCCTGAGAGATTGGAGCGCCTGAATTTGCCTAGCTTATACTACAGACAGGCAAGGGCGGACCTATTTGAGGTGTATAAGCATCTCAGGGGGCACTACTCAGTCGTGTGTCCTTACTTGGAGCTGGCGGATGCTTGCCCCACAAGGGGTCACAGCTCAAGATTGAAGAAGCCGCAAGTCCAGAAAACTGTGAGGGCAAACTTTTTCGGAGTGAGGGTTGTAAATTCTTGGAACAATCTACCAGAGAGTGTTGTGATGGCACCGAGTGTGAGCTCTTTCAAGACAAGACTGGACCACACTGGAGCGGGTTCAGGTACATTCAGGAGCCGGTGCATGCCCAGTATTTGCCAACAGTGCGTGACAGAGACGTGGCTGATCGTCTGGGCGGCTAGCGAGCCGATCTTTTGGTGAAGAGTATAAATGAAAAGGAAAAGTAATCAGAGACGTGACCGATCGCCCAAGCAGCTAACGAGCCAATCAGTGGCGAAGAGGATAAAAGTAAAAGTAATTTGTTACTGGTGTTTTATTGGCAACTTGCCATTATGATTATTGTGCTTATTTTATTGTGTTAAATACAGTACACTTCACTATACTTGTATTGTAAACTTAATTATAGCTACTATAGAAAGCTCTGTACAGTTAACCCTCACTTTACGCGGTTAATGTAACCCGGAGGGTCCCGCGTAAAGTGAGAAACGCGTAAAGTGAATAACATAACATATGGGATTAATTGAAATGGAGTCCGGGCCGATCCGCAAACTCCACTTTTTGACGACACACAACTATGCTGTAGTAAAAATATTATCTTAACTTTATGATGGTATGCACACACAATTAATAATTAAGATAAATATCAATAATATTAGGTTTTTTAACACTTACATTAGTAGAAAAAATGGCTGGGCACACGGGGATGGGCGGTTGGTTCCGAGACAGAGGGCAGATTATTGGCCCTCACCTGTGTCACTTGTATCAATTGTATCACTATCCACCACAGAGGCTTGCAGGGCCTCTTTGTCAAACTCCCCAAAGTCCATATAAGTCCATATCCTCACCATAATTATCACTATCACTGACTTGGGCCGGCTGTGGTGGGTGGCGGGTGAAGAACTGGTAATGTTTTGATGACTGGGCGACCTTGTGCGCACCATGTTCGCGCCGCTTACACAACATGGCGGATGGCGGGAGGTTTGGATCCAAAAATGGCGCGGCTCGCCAGCCGCTCTCCGCGTAAAGGGGTACACGCACCGCGGAATGTGAGCATCCTGGGTTCCGGCAGGGCACCGCGTAAACGTGGAATGTGGGACCGCGTAAAGTGAGGGTTAACTGTATTTATATTTTTCATCCTTAAGGTAGTTATTACAAGTCAACTTTGTTTACATAGAAAAATGTAAGGATGCAGAGTAATACAGTAGCCTTTTGTTTGCATATAAAGCTTAAGAGTAAATAAGGTAAAACAGAGCTATTTGGGTGCTTTGTGGCCTGACAGGCAGACTGTGATTACGTGGGTGACCAACGTGGCTACTGCTTACAGGATGATTGTAATTACAGCTCTCGATGACTGCAGTACAGAATTGAGATTGAAAATACACAAAATTTATTTAATATCACTGCAGCTTCAGTAACTGTAGTCTTCACTATTATCCAGTGATCCCTCGGTTAACGAGCACCTCGGTTAACGAGATTTCGGTTTAGCGATTTACCTTCCATAAGATTCTTAACTTCTGTTAACTAGCGATCCCTCGATTAACGAGTTTTTTACGAGCCGACCTCAACATGTTTTCACTTGCATTTGGCGGTCCACCAGCTGTAGTATTAGTCCGCCAATACAGTAATCGGTTTTAGGGCTTAAATTCCTAACTAATTTAGTAAATATCAAGAAGTTTATACTATTCAATAATTTTAAAGGTTTAATATTAAATTTTTTAGTCATTTTAACAATTATTGAAGGTAACGTAACTAGTTTTATGCGCGCCATCCAGCCTGGCAACACACCAAACAGGTGCCAGTTTCTCTGTCTTTTCAGTGGAGGTAACATCTTGCTTGAGACTCTCTTCAACTAAATGCTTTTTTCTGTGTTTGCAAGAAAATTATTGGTCATTTTGAAATTTATTTTACATATTGACAATATATAATGCGGTGCAGTGTTGATTTAAAGAAAATAATCTTGAATTACACCAAGAGAACTAAAATTTTATGGGTGAAATGGTGCCATGGGGTGACTTCTCTTCCACCCCAATGCCTTCTCTTCTACCTTCTCCTCCACCCCCATTCTAATTCCCATCACCATCATCCAGGAGCCTTCTACATACACACCTCAAAGTAAGTGTACTTTTCTACCTTTTTTGTTGAATTTAGGCAATTTTCAGTGAGCTGGAACCAATTACCCAAAAACCCATTGAAACAATGGTTTCGGTTAACGAGTTTTTCGGTTAACGAGCAACCTGCTGTAACGGATTGTGCTCGTTAACCGAGGGACCACTGTATTATGCATTAAATTATATATTTTCTTGTTTCTCTACTCATTTAAGCATTTTCTAAGCTGAAGATGAACAAATTTTTTTTAGTGAGTCTATGGTTTGTGATGGGTTAATGTCATTGAATCTTTCATATGAGTGTACCACACCAGAGACTGATTGATTGGTCAGAATTCTTTGCTCTATAGTGCACCTAAGCTTATATCATGTGGTTTTGGGGCAAACAAATTTTGGGCTGGAACACATCTCCGCTTTTCAGATGGGGTCTTATGGGAAATTGGGTCTTGGTGAAGAATAATTCACTAAACAAGCACTGTTTCAGGAATGCATATCACTCATAAGGTGGGACTTGCCTGTATGTTATTCAACACAATTTTTGTCAAATATATTGTATACTGTACACTGTTTTTTTAATTTTCGTTTATTTTTTTAGTTATTTTAGATGAATGGATTTCCTTCCATTTGGTAAAAAATAAAATGTGTTTAAGTACTATAGGTATGTTTTGTAGACTGCATTTTATCAATAAAATTATTGTTCTGTATAAAATATTTTGAGTGATTATGATTCATTGAGTGAACAGGATGACTACACCATTTTCACAACTGGTGTGTCTGCCTCCACAGCACTGAGAATGTTTTGTGATGACCATTACCAAGACTGCAATAAGCCATATAGCATGTACAGTAATGTGAAGGATGAAAATAAGCAGATAGGGCTACAAATCTCATGAGTTTGTTGTGGAAACCTGCAGATACTTAAACTTGGATGCTGTACTATACGGTGGCTGGTGCAGCATATAAAATGTGGATACTGTGCTCAAAATTGCAAAAAGTAAATCTATGGTTGGAGAGGGATTACTTTATTACAATAAATCATGGAGCCAAAAATATGGCTAAGATTTCAGAATCTAGCTGGAGGTCAAGGAGTTTTTATATACAGTACTGTATTATTTATTATGTCTTTTTCTTTTTTATGCTAACAGGTAATAGAGGAAAAAACTATGCCAGATATGCAGAAGATTTCCCTCACCTGTTCCAAGTGGTGGCAGTAGCAGAGCCAAGAACACAAGCTCGAGAATTTGTAAAAAATAAACACTCCTTATCCCAGGACCGGTGAGCCCCCACTTTAATTATTTTTATACATCTACAAGTATCTCTTTAATTTCATTCTCTATTGAATGTACAGTACAGTATTTAGCATTTATTCATGGAACTGTAATATAGTAGAATTAGAACCATAACTATAATTGAAATTTATGTTGGGATGATAATTCAAAGTGGTGCTTTCTTACTTTGTTACTTTTATCCTCTTCACCACTAATTGGCTCGTTGCCACTTGGGCGGTCGGTCACGTCTCTGTTATGCACTATTGACAGTTACTGGGCATGCACTGGCTCCTGAATATATTAGAGCCTGCACCAGTGTTGGTCAAGTCTGGCCTTGAAAGAGCTCACACTCGGTGCTGTCACAACACTCTCTGGCAGAATATTCCAAGAGTTCACGGTTCTCACTCCCAAAAAGTTACCCCTCACATTTTTCTGAACTTGTGGCTTCTTCAACTTTGAGCTGTGACCCCTTGTGGGGCGGACGTCCACCAGCTCCAAGTATGTACAGCTCCTCCCCGACTTATGATGGGGTTAGGGACCCAAATCCAGGTCGTAAGTCGAAATGGTCGTAAGTCGAAAATGCTTAAATAATACAAAGAAAATCTAAAATGGGTGTCTCTTTTTCTTCTCAGCACCACAAAACTCTCACTTTTAAGCTTGCCAGCCATTTTAAAGTGAATTACAAACGAAAATTTTGTCAGTACACAGTGCAACCACTGGCGTTGGAACTCGAAAATACGTAATTTGACAAAATTTTGGTACTAATGAGGCGGTTGTATGTCCGGGTGGTCGTAAGTCGAGTAGGTCGTAAGTCGGGGAGGAGCTGTACATTCGACTGAGTAGTGCCCCCTGAGATGTTTATACACTTCGATTAGGTTCCCCCTTGTCCGTCTGTAATATAAGCTAGGTAGATTCAAGCGCTCCAATCTCTCTGGTTAACTGAGGTTCCATAGAGCAGGCACCAGTCTGATGGCCCTTTTTTGGACATTTTTAATCAAATGACAGTCTCTAGCATACCTCTGGGACCAGACGGGTGACAATACTGCGGACGGGGAAGCACCTCACTCTTGAAAATTGTGACGAGCGAAGGACCATCTAGATATCTAAACGACATTTTTATAAGACCTACTAGTCTAATTGCCTGATTCACCTTCTTCTCACAATGACCCGAGAACTTAAGTTCATTGTCGACATAGACATTAGGGTCCTTTTCACATTCGGTTTCAATTAATGCAGTCTCTTTGTCCTGTTGGGACATATTATACACCTCCTTACTATTGGTGTGACCCAGGTGCTTCCTTTTGCACTTCGTGATTTGAATCTTGGCAGCCATTTCCTCGACCATTCTTGAAACTCAGAGATCTTTCTGCAGCTCTTCACGGTCTGTTTGCTTCTAAATTTCCCTAAATAACTTGCATCATCTGCAAACATTTGCATGGAGGAGTGTATAGCTTTTGGCTTCATTAATCGAGCAGACAAACAACAACGGGCCCAATACACTACCCTGTGGTACCCTGCTAGCCACGGGTACACATGACAATTTTGTACCATTTATCACCACACACTGTTTGCAGTCATGCAGAAAGTCTTTGGTCCACGCTAGGACACTTCCCCAAATCCCGTATCCTTCCAGTTTGATTCTCAGCCTTTCATGGAGTACGCTGTTGAAAGCCTTGGCAAAATCTAGGTATATATTGTTGATGCTTTCGCCTTGTTCTAAAATTTGAGTCCTAACATCTAGTACTTTAAGTAATTGTGTTAAGCAAGATCAATGAGTCAATGATTTTTGTATTATGTGAAGTACGTTGAGATTGGGTATGAGGAGTATTTTTAAGCAAGACATACAGGGTAGTTTTATAATTTGTAATTATGTTTAACTTCTTCTAGATGCTTTGATAGCTGGGAGTTTCTGGTTGAAAAGTCTAAACTAGCTGATTGTGCAATTATTGCCACTCAAGATCAACAACATCTTCAACCTACAGTTGCACTTGCGAAGAAAGGGTAAGTCATAAAGATATTTATATGTACTTGTGTATGTATCAATCTGTCCAATCTCTCAGTTTCACCTTCTTCCCGGTTACATGGACTGAAACAGAGATACATTATGATGCACTGCTAATATTAATCATAACTATTATCCATTTATAAACATTTGTAAAAATATTCACCTTGTCTTGGGGGATATTGGTGTTTAAACTTTTTCAGGACTTAAAAAGAGCGACATCTTCCAAGTCCAGGCAAATTTTGTAAACAATTATACAGTCATGCACCGGTTAACGTCCTAGATACGTTCTTGGAAACGTGACGTTAACCGAAATGGACGTTGTCCGATCATCACAAATTTTTTATTTATACTTATGTGTATGTGGAATATTATATACGTACATATACACTTTTACTGTTAAATCACTACTGTAATGTGATACAGGTGATTAATTTTTATCTCTTGTGCAAAATACATGACGTTTATATTAAAATTATTCACTGTTTTACAAGGATTCCAGCAACGCCAAGCAGATGGGGGAGAGAGAGGGTGCGAGGGGGCGTGGGAGGAGGGGAGGTAGTACGTTTGACAGTTGGCACAGGCCCAGGTCTAACGTGTGTATATTTATCAGTTCTTAGGTGACTAAGCTTCTCTCTTATAAAAAGCCAGTGAAATGACCTGGGTGAATATAATTAACATAGCTGGGATTCTTGTAACATACTGATTAATTTGAATATAAACATGCTATAATTTGCACTAGACAAAAAAATTTTAGTACCGTAATCAAATTAGTACATGTGCACTCCAGCTTTGCACTAAGAAATTTATGTAAATCTACCCAAAAATACAGTTGAAAAACTTTTTTATAAAATGTACTATACTGTACACTAATGTACAACAATTTTTATCTCTTGAGCAAAATATATGACGTTTATATTCAAATTATTGGCTGTCTTGCAAGGATTCCAGCAATGCAAATTATATTATCCTAACTTTAGTCTGAGATATTATATAAAATAAACATAAAGAAATCACCAATCTTTTATCTTGAACACGAGGGTGGTGGGAAGACGGCAGGGGGGAGTGGGTGACAGAATGTCTAGCGTTTGTTTGTTTATTTATTTGAGATTAGATTTGACAGTTGGTGCTGAAGGCCTGCGTGTTTATTTATCATTACTTAAGAGTGACTAAGCTCTTCTCATAATTTTCCACCCAAATGACCTGGGTGAATATAACTTACATTGGAAGGATTCTTGTAAGATAGTAATTTATTTGAATTTTTTTTTTCAATTTAAATTTTAATTGTTTATTCCTTGATAGAGGAAGCGGGATCCTGTTGCTGTCACTTGGTACCCCTGTACCATAACACCAGAAGCAACTGGCCAGTGTCACAAGTATATACAGTGATCCCTCGGTTAACGAACGCCTCGGTTAACAAAATTTCGGTTAACGAACTGCCTTTCATAAGAATCTTCAATTCGGTTAACGAACAAAAATTCGGTTAACGAATTTCTTACGAACCGACCTCAACATGTTTTCGCTTGCACTGGCTGGGCAACCAGCTTTAGTATCAGTCCGCCAATACATTAATCGGTTCTAGGGCTTAAATTCCTTACTATTTTAGTAAATATCAAGAAGTTTATACTATTCAATAATTTTAAAAGTTTAATATTAACTTTTTTAGTCATTTTAACAATTATTGAACATAATTGAAGGTAAAGAAACTAGTTTCTGGCATGCCATCCAGCCTGTTAACACACCAGACAGGCGTTAGTCTCTCTCTGTTTTCACTGGAGGTAACATCTTGCTTGAGACTCTCTTCAACTAAACACTTTTTTTCTGTGTTTCCAAGCAAATTATTGGTCATTTTGAAATATATTATAACAACCACGACTATGATTATAACAACCACAACCATGATCATAACAACCACGACCATGATTATAACAACCACGACCATGACTATAACAACCACGACCATGATTATAACAATCACGACCATGATTATAACAACCATGACTGATTATAACAACCACAACCATGATTATAAGAACCATGACCATGATTATAACAACCACGACCATGATTTTAACAACCATGACCATGATTATAACAACCACGACCAACCACGACTATGATTATAACAACTACGACTATGATTATAACTACCACGACTGATTATAACAACCACGACTCATTATAACAACCAGGACCATGATTATAACAACCACGACCATGATTATAACAACCACGACCATGATTATAACAACCACGACCATGATTATAACAACCACGACTATGATTATAACACCACGACCGATTATAACACCACGACCGCCACCGCGGCCAACGACCATGATTATAACAACCGACCATGATTATAACAACCGCGGCCATGATTATAACAACCCGACCAACCGACCATGATTATAACAGCGGCTGATTATAACAACCCGACCATGATTATAACAACCACGACTATGATTATAACAACTTCGACTATGATTATACTGCTTCGACTATGACTATAACAACCACGACTGATTATAACAACCCGACCGCGCGATTACTTAACAACCCGACCATGATTATAACAACCCGCGAATATAGTTATAACAACCACAACTCACGATTATAATAACCCGCGACCGTGATTATAACAGCCACGACCATGATTATAACAACCACGACTATGATTATATGAACCACGACTATGATCATAGCAAACACGACCATGATTATAACAACGACGATCATGATTATAACAACCACAACCATGATTATAACGACCACGACTATGATTATATCACCATCGACCATGATTATAACAACCACTACTATGATTATATCAACCACGAGTATGATTATAACAACCACGACCATAATTATAACAACCACAACCATGATTATAACAACCCGCGAATATGATTATACTCAACACAACTCTGAACGCAGCCGCCCGACCGCGGTTATAACAACCACGACCGCCAGTTATAACAACCCGGCCATGATTATAACAACCTGACCATGATTATAGCAACCGATATGATTATAACAACCACAACTACGATTATAATAACCACGACCATGATTATAACAACCACGACCATGATTATAACAACCACGACCATGATTATAACAACCACGAATATGATTATAACAATCACAACTACGATTATAATAACCACGACCATGATTATAACAACCACGACCATGATTATAACAACCATGACCATGATTATAACAACCACAACTACGATTATAATAACCACGACCATCTATCTAATAAACTATAGGAATAGCCATGTGTGTGTGTGTTTGTGTCTGTTCTGGGCAGCCGAAACGGCACAATCGTTTTTCATCAAACTTGGTGGAAAAATCGCAAAAAATTTGTAGAGTGGAACAAACCTGGGCCCATGTCAATGGTTTCTTTAGGAAGACATTAATTAACCATTTTATTTACGCTGGAAAATGATGTCGCTGTATGCTGTCAGCCGGACGGCGGTTGCGCGCTAGCCAAGCATGAGCGTTCGAACTTTCACGCCTCGGTAAACTGTACAACCGGACTCGCCACCGGGCACGAAGGGCCCACGATCACTTGTAAGTACAGTATTATAGTACAGGGGGTATTGGAATACCCCCTGTATATACAGTACACATACTCTACTTGTAATTTATAAAATGACAGTTAACAGTATACTGTATATAGTATTTTCTGTCCAGATACCACATTTTACTGGAAAAACCAATGGCAGTGACGGAAGAAGACTGTCGTGCCATTTATGATGCTTGCAGGGACGCTGGGGTTATATTGGCTGTGTGTCATGTATTAAGGTAACAATTTTAACAAGTATTTTTACATAAGAAAATAATGACTTTCTTTACAATTCTTAGATTAATATTAATCATAATTTTATTACAGTAGCATTCATTGTAGAATACCAGCTCTTAATTACATTGATAATGGAATAAGGGAAAATGATGATTATATGTACAGTATTAAGATATTTATGATGCTTGAAGAAAAATGTTTCTTGACAAATTTCTTAGCTCCAACTGATTTCAGAGCACATGAAAGGACACTCAAACACCTGCACACAAGAAACAGTTCTAGTAGCTGATTGATTTTAAGATTTAAAGTCCTAATATTTTCTCTAAATCAAGGAAGCAAGTTGATGTACTGTCCCATAAGGTGTTGTTAAAGGTGCCATAATAACTGTAAATTTAGTCTTATACCCAAAGAGACATTTTGTTGACAGTGAAGATCACCAAAGAATTTGTTCTCTTGGGAATATTCATTTGTTTCATCCTAAATTTGTATGAGGTGAGAGACAGAGAGAGATGGTAGTTGTATGAGGTGAGAGACAGAGAGAGATGGTAGTTGTATGAGGTGAGAGACAGAGAGAGATGGTAGTTGTATGAGGCGAGAGACAGAGAGAGATGGTAGTTGTATGAGGTGAGAGACAGAGAGAGATGGTAGTTGTATGAGGTGAGAGACAGAGAGAGATGGTAGTTGTATGAGGTGAGAGACAGAGAGAGATGGTAGTTGTATGAGGTGAGAGACAGAGAGAGATGGTAGTTGTATGAGGTGAGAGACAGAGAGAGATGGTAGTTGTATGAGGTGAAGGAGTGTTAGTGAGTTGTTATATGTACAGTATAGTATAAGAATAACAATGATGCAGACTGTCATATTTATTATAAAATTCTCAGTAAATTAATTTATTGTAATGAAAAATAATGTTACTGTACAACTGCATAATGTATTGAGTGATAAATAGGTTTTGGATATGTTGAATTTATAACCTTATATTTTTTGTTCATTTGTGATCAGATACCATCCACCTGCCAGAAAGCTGAAGGAGTTAATTGAATCAGGAGTAATTGGAGATGTTGTCAACATCAACCACACTGAACCTGTTGGGTTCTGGCATTTTGCTCATTCTTTTGTCAGAGGTAAAGATTTATATAAAATTTTTAGATTGTGATTTTTTTTTTGGTACCAGTACTTAATTTAAAGGGATACTGCTAGTCATCCCATTGTATTTTGTAAAATAAAGTAAATTTATATATATATAAAATGATGTGAATTTTAAATTGCTTTACCTCTACGTATATTAAAATTTACATTAGGAAGAATTTCTAAGTCATTAATCTCTTTATTGTGCTGCAGGAAATTGGGCCAATTCAAAGAGAAGCACATTTTCACTGCTGGCTAAGTGTTGCCATGATGTTGATCTCATTGCATATTGGATGGGAAACAAGAAATGTGTTAACCTCTCCTCCTTTGGTTCATTACATCATTTCAGGTAAGTGAAGAAATTACTTGGAAAAATACAGTCATGTTCAATAGAAAATTTGAAGCTTTTTGTACAGGTGTCTGTTTTGTTAACTGTAGCTGAGTCCTACATTTTAGAAGACTTGGACCTTATTGTTTGTGTATTTTGTATGTCTTTAAAGCCATATTTCCTTACACATATCTATAATTTCTAAGCCATATGTTTTAAAAGGATTAAAATTCACAGAAAGGAAAAAAAACCAGAGGGAGCTGGAGACCGTTGTCTACAGTGCCCAGTAGAGGCTTCCTGCGCTTACTCTGCCAAGAAGATCTATCTAGATCCTGCACCCAGTAAGCCACGCTGGCCTATGAGTGTTGTGTGTGACATTGAGGATCCGCCTGAGGGCTATTTGGGCAAATTAAAAGAAGCTATTGAAACTGGTAAGATTAACATGCCCACACAAATTTTAGAGCGTTTTGTTTTTGTCCTTTCCATTGATCATACACTTTTTCTTTTACTTTTATCCTCTTCACCACTGATCGGCTCATTAGCCGCTTGGGCGATCGGTCACATCTCTGTTACTTTTCCTTTTCTTTTATCCTCTTCACCAAATGATCGACTCGTTAGCCGCTTGGGCGATCGGTCACGTCTCTGTTATGCACTGTTGGCAAGTATTGGGTATGCACCGGCTCCTGAATGTACCTGAACCTGCTCCAGTGTTAGTCAAGTCTGGTCTTGAAAGAGCTCACACTCGGTGCCGTCACAACACTTTCTGGTAGATTGTTCCAAGAATTCACAACTCTCACTCCGAAAAAGTTTGCCCGAGCAGTTTTCTGGACTTGCGGCTTCATCAGTCTTGAGCTGTGACCCCTTGTGGGGCGAGTGTCCGCCAGCTCCAATTAAGGACACTCGACTGAGTAGTGCCCCTTGAGATGCTTATACACCTCAATTAGGTCACCCCTTGCCCGTATGTAGTACTGTATAAGCTAGGCAAGTTCAGGCACTCCAATCTTTCAGGGTAGCTGAGGTGCCAAAGTGCAGGTTTCTATCCTTTGATACTGTAAAAATTTAAAGTTGCAGGGCTGCCATAATTCAAACACGCTTGTTAAGGTAGTGCAGAATACATACAGAGTACGGGAAATGCTTTAATTATTCCATAATCACATTGTAGCTTTTCTTTGTGGTCTCATGCATTCTTATTCTATATACTGTACTGTAATTACCTTCACAAATTAATGATTTCCCTTATCATTTTTTTTATCTCAATGTTTTCTTTTCTTTTTACAGCCAGTATCTGTGTGTAACCACATTTATTTACTTATTCAGCTGTACAATATTCTATTCTTTTCTCAGTATATTTCCTCAAAGCTATAACTAAAATGCTAACACTATGCCATTTCCAGCAAGTGGGAAGTGGTAGGCTAGCCAAAGACATTCATGTGAATGGTAGGCAATTCAAGGTTCACTTCAACAGGACAATGAGACTAACCTTATTCTCACAGGATTGAATCTGTCTCTTAAGGGCAGGGAGTATAAAGTGCTACTAGCTGACCCAAGGAGCCCTTAAGTTAAAGAAGATTTTTCCTTCTTTTCCAGGGAGAAAATCTGTCTGATGACTTGCTTTTAAATAACAATAACATTGACTCAGATTAACACTGTATTTGGCTTATGTGAAGAGCTATAATGGATACTTGCAGAATAAAATATTATTAATGTATTTTTATAAAAAAAAAGAATCGTGAAACACACACCCACTTTTCAAAGTTTAATAGAGAAACAGTCTGAAGGCATCATCAACATCTATTATCCTGAAGCTACCATACAAAAAAATTGTTTTATAATTTCAAACTCCAATCATATAAGATAATTGTATGATACAGTATCATCATTTATTTATTTTACTTTCAACTAAACATATCTTGAATTTTTATGGGATTTGCCAACTGTAAGGATACACAATTTATATTGTTTTTCAGTACTGTAGTAGTTGTGGTAATTGTGTACAGGTACAGTAGTTGTATGCTTCACTAGAATTTTTAATTATTTTCAGGTCCTTATGGAAATTGTGTTTACAACACTGACAATGATGTTTGTGACAATCAGGTAAGTCATTGTTACATACTCCATGTATGGAAACTATGTTTTGTGTAGAGTTATGCTTACATCATTCTTATGTAATTATAGTTGAGATATTGAGGTAACACATTATGAGACCTGCAAACAGTGTCTGGACCAAAGCAAGTGTTAATGTGTTGACTGTTCTGGCCATTTGTTATGGTAAAATTCCAAACTATGATGGGAGTTTTTGGCATCTTCTCTTTATTGGGGAACTGTAAAAGTGATAAAATGACCAAGTACAGTATATTAAAAAGTAACTTTGTAAAACACTTGAGAAGTCAAACAAAACCTGTTTTAATTGGTGGAACTGAGAAGCAACAGGCTGACAGTGCTGTGTTTTGGAACTCGGGCATATGATGATATGAATATTTAATAGTTTGAAGGAAAAGGGGAAGGTGATGGGTGAGTCACCTTTTTCAGAAAACCTGAATATTAGATCTGTGATGCAGTGATCCCAGCATTTTCAGATTTCCAAGTACGTACATTATTGTACATACTGTAGTTGGAAATTAAAAGAAATAAAAGTCTCGATTTTATGGGGTAATAAAAACTAAAAGAAAAGAAAACATCATAATACAGGATAAATGAGGTCTAGTTTTGAAACATTATCTCATAAAACACTAGTACAGTATTACTCCGCTTTACATGGTTTCACTTTCCGCGATTTCTCATTTACACGAACCGGACTTTCACTTTCCGTGGTGCACCTACTCATATACGCGTGAAGTATAATTTTTTATTTTTTTATTTAGCTCATAAAATTCATACAAATTACCCGGCCAGAATATAATTTACATTGCTGGAATTCTTACAATATGATGATCATTTTGAATATAAACATCATGGATTTTGCATTAGACATACAAATTTTAGATCTAATGTAATAATTTGGTTTACACAAAGCAAGTATTTTATCTTTTGTGCAAAATATATGAAGTTTACATTCAAAATATTCCCTGACCTGCAAGGAATCCAGAAATGTCAATTATATTATCCTAACTTTAGTCTGAGTTATTATTTATTACTAAAAATGTAAATTACTATTTTCTCCCAAAGCTTCTCTGGTAGGGAGGGAAGGTGGGGGGTGGGGGGGAGGGAGGGAGGGACCGACCCAGCTAGGGCCGAGTATTTTGATTGACAGATAGTGTCCTTGAAGAATATTTCTTTGTTTATTTAATGAAGATATATGTTTTAGCTCATAAAATTCATACAAATTACCCGGCCAGAATATAATTTACATTGCTGGAATTCTTACAATATGATGATCATTTTGAATATAAACATCATGGATTTTGCATTAGACATACAAATTTTAGATCTAATGTAATAATTTGGTTTACACAAAGCAAGTATTTTATCTTTTGTGCAAAATATATGAAGTTTACATTCAAAATATTCCCTGACCTGCAAGGAATCCAGAAATGTCAATTATATTATCCTAACTTTAGTCTGAGGTATTATTTATTACTAAACGTTAAAATCTAGTGTTTCACCCAATCATTTCTCAGAGAGGTAGGGGCCAGTGAGCTGGGAAGAGGGGGGGGGGGATTTGAGTCCATTATTTGAATGGACATTAACCTGGCGACTGTATTTCTCTTAAATATTAATTGTGTGGGCATACCATCATAAAATTTAGATGTTATTTTTACTACAACATAGGTATTGTGTCGGAAAAAGTGGAGTTTGGGGGTCGGGCCAGTCTTTATTGGAATTAATCCCATATGTTCTGTTGTTCACTTTACGCGGTTCCCTGTGGGTTCAATTGACCGCGTAATCGGGGTACTACTGTATCTGGATTGGGATAGTGAAGTTTTATCTTAGAATCAACAAAACTGGTGTGTCACTCCAGTTTGGTGTTGATTGAATTCTTGATAAAGGTTTGTTGAAGCCATCATCAGTATATCAGTGGACAGTTGACAGTTTCTTGCTATACAGTTGGCCTCACTATAGAGTATGGTTACCCATGGAAAATGTTATCTACACAATCATCTTACTTTAACCTGTTCACTCTGTCTTATCACATACGGTAATCATTTGTATCCTCATAGAGCAACTGCCTGTATAGTGTGCTGAAATTACTGTAATTGATCCACAGGTGAGACATTAGTACAGTACTGTATGAAATAAATTTGTGGCTGATATAAGTGTCATATTGGTATGAAATTTGTATGATGATTTAAGAAAAAAAATCAGGCAGTTGTTTAAAGTAGTAGAATGAATTATATGTGAGACATAAATTGTACAGTATAGTTTGGTTTTACGCCATTAATTAAACCCATGGGGGTCCGCGTATAAAGTAAAACGCGTAAATAAAATAACAGAACCTATGGGATTAATTGAAATAGAGACTGGGCCGACCGCCAGACTACCCTTTTTTTTGGCTATCGCCGACACAATACTGTACATTGTAGTAAAAATAACATCTTAATTTTATGATGGTATGCACACACAATTAATATATAAGAGAAATATCAATAATATTAGGTTTTTTAACACTTACATTAGTAGAAGAGATGGCTGGGCACACGGGGATGGGGAGTTGGTTCCGAGCAGAGGGCAAATTATTGGCCCTCACTTGTCTCTCTATCCACCACAGAGGCTAGCAGGGCCTCCTCGTCAAACCCTTCGAAGTCCACATCCTCACTATCACTGACTTGGGCTGGCTGTGGTGGTTGGCGGGTGAAGAACTCGGTGATGTTTTGTTGACGGCTAGCATTGATGTGGTCGTGATACAGCTGAACATAGGGCTCCTGGCATTTCAACAGAATGTTATAAGACACTTCGTAGCGATGATTGATTGGGTCTTTGGCAAGGATGAGCTTCATTCTCTCAGCTAACTCGGTGACATCCTTCACATCAGCATGTGTTAGTTTCTGCTCTTGTTGTTCTGTTCCACCTCACTGCTCACTGATGTCATCATCTTCCAACATCTCGTCCTCAGTCACCTCAGGTTGCCTGATTACCTCCAGGATGGCGTCGTTGGTGGTCTCGGAGAAGCCTGCAGCTCTAACACCTTGTGCAGCCTCTCTTGCATTCTCCAATGCCACAGCAACAGACTGAGCCTCGCCAGCTACCGCTTGCCTCTGCCTCCCACCTGGGATACCCTCCAACACAAGCCGCCACGCGTGCCGAATCGTTGCCACAGATAGCTGTCCCCATGCCTCCACCAAGAAATCTAACAGCCTTCTTCACGTTAAACAGCTTCCAGAACTTGTTCGTGTTCCTTGTCCTCGCTCTCGCTATCGGTGCCACTCTCTAGGTTCTGCAGTTCATCCTTGGTGTTGATGAAGTCGTTCAGGAGCCGAAACTTCTTGGCGGTGAAAGCAGCCTTCACGTTGCAAATCAACTCCTGATCCATGGGCTGGATTAACGACGTAGTGTTAGCGGGAAGGAAGACCACTTTTACGTTGGGGTGATGATCCAACAAAAGGGGCGAGTGTCCTGGTGCGTTGTCGAGAAGTAACAAAATGTTGAACGGCACATTATTTTCCTCGCAGAATTTCTTGAGATCAGGAACGAGACAGTTGTCAAACCAGGAGAGGGACAGACCAGAAAACTTTCACGCCTTCCCTGAGGTTAGCCAGTGGACATTTAATTTGCTCATGTCCATATTCTTGTAGGCATGAGGCTTGCGGGCTTTGTGGATCACAGACAACTTCAACTTAGCAGTGCCAGAGGCATTGATGGTGAACAGTACGGTGATGCGCAGCTTCTGCATTTTGCGTCCCAGACACTTGCTAGCAGACTTGACTACGAAGATCTTGGATGGCAATTTCTTCCAGTACAACCCTGATTCATCCATATTTAACACTTGGTCGTCGGTGTACTGGCCTTCCTCCATAATTTCCCGTAAAAATGGGGGAAAATTCCTGGCGGCAGCCTGGTCGGCACTTGCTCCTTCTCCGACTATCTCAATATTCGTGATCTTGTTGCGTCATTTAAAACCTTTCAGCCACCCAGCGGAAGCACTGAAGGGCTTGGGCTCCGCAACTCCCATTTTTCTTGCTACTGCTGTGTAAAGTTCCCGGGCGTAATCCTGCAGTGCCCGAGTGTCGACCGCCATGTTCCTTCTTGACTGACGAATAATGTAGCTTACCAACAGACTCTCTCTCTTCAGCAGCACCTTAGTGTGGCAATATTTCACCAGCGAGGAACCTACAGACTTGGTAATGTTCATGTGTTCATTGATTTTGCCGGCATCCTTCTTGATAGTGCGGAAGTGCGGATGTTGATTCATTCACTCCATATTGTCTGGCCAGATCCATCTGTCTCGTGCCTTTTTCTAACTCCTGAACGATCTTGTACTTTACCTCATAGCTTAAGGCGTGTCGCACCTTCTTGGGCTTGGGGCGGGTTGGGCCAGGTAGTTCAGGGCTTCTCGGGGGTGGTGGGGGTCCAGCGGAAGCCATTGTGTAGAAAGAAAAAACAAAACCGGTTCCTGGGCACGAGTGAATATACGCGGGAACAGTGAGACTGACTCGGCAGCGGTGGAGAGCATGGGTGGCGGGGGTGGCAAGGATAACTAGACCAATCACAGCGTGCGGCGGAGGGGGTGTGTGGGTGGTAAGGATACGTGGCCCAATCACAGTCTGCGACGTCAGCACCCAGCACCTTGCCCTGTAAATAATAATTATCTCTTCTGAACAGGTGCCGCGTAAATGGCCGTCCGCGTAAAACCAGACTATACTGTATGTCCCAGTGTGGTTTACTTACCTATGGCATTGATCTAAACTAGAAAGACATCCAGCAGATATACTGTACAGTGATCCCTCGGTTAACGAAAAAAATTCGGTTAACGAATTCCTTAAAAAATTTTCCCAACATGTTTTCGCCTGCTCATCAGCTGTAGTATTAGTCCGCCAATACAGTAATCGGTTTCAGGGCCTAAATTCGTTACCATTTGAGTAAATATCAAGAAGGTTGTACTATTCAATAATTTTCCAAGTCTTATATTAAAATTTTTTAGTAATTTTAACAATGATTTAACATAATTGAAGTACAGGGAACTAGTTTTTAGCGCGCCAAACAGCCACTTGACTCACCCAGAATGGCGTCAGTTTGTGTCTCTGCTCAGTGGAGGAAGCATCTTGCTTGAGACTCTTTTGAACATAAACTATTTTTATGTTTTTACAGTACAATTATTGGTCATTCTGAAATTTATTTTACATATTGACAATATATAATGCAGTGCAGTGTTGATTTAAAGAAAATAATCTTGAATTACACCAAGTGAACTTAAAATTTTATGGGTGAAATGGTGGCATGAAGCATGGGGTGACTTCTCTTCCACCCCCACTGCCTTCTCTTCTCCCTTCTCCTCCACTCCCACTTCTAATTCCCATCATCATCATCACCATCATCATCAACAACCAGGAGCCTTCTACATGCACACCTCAAAGTAAGTGTACTTTACTGCATTTATTTTTAGTTTGTATGTAATTTTCGGTGAGCTGGAACCAATTACCCAAAATCCCTTTGAAACAATGGTTTCGGTTAATGAATGACCACCTGGAACGAATTGTGTTTAACCGAGGGACCACTGTATAGTACATGTTTGTACATTTGTTTCTTGAGAACTCTTTTGGTAGAGGGGGGGTCAAACAGTAGACTAGAGTGTATGAATTTCAGAAAAGATTGTTTCCATAGAGAGAGAACTATATGAGTGAATATAAAATCATGAAATGCATAATTTATGACCAGTGATTCATTCAACTAGTGACAGTCACACTAGCCTCTGATATTTCTAGAGTGGGTTACTTTTAGGCTAGGCTGAGGCCACCCACCCACTGGCATGGTCACAACACTTGGGCCAGTTAGTGTTTATGTAACACTTTACACTGGTCTGAGAGGATAGCGTACCTGCCTCTAGAATGTACAGTAAGTTGCCATCTAGACAAAGCAGACTCTGCCAGAGATGTCCTAGTTTGTGAATTTGAAAGTCTATTGTCCCCTTCCCTTGTCTATGAAATGAGATTTCATATTTCAATCCTTTGTTTTGTGAATTAAATAGTGCTTCCATAGCTGTACTATATTGAAATGTTCCTTTCAGATTGTCAATTTTGAATTTAGTGATGGGGCAACAGCAACACTAACAATGGTAGCCTTCACCCAGCAACTGTGTGCCAGAAAAACAGAAGTGTATGGCACTCAGGGACAGCTGGTGTGGGATGAGTCCAAGGGACATATTGTCCAGCAATTTGACTTCTTATCCCAAGCATCAACAGTTCATCAGTGTAAAGAGGTGAGAATGATTATTTGTTAAACACTGTGACAATATCCTGTTGCTTTTATAGCCTACAGAACCCTGTGAGAGATTCTATCACAAAGCATCTTATAAGCAGAATAGGCCATTGCCTGTAGATTGTGTAGTACTTGACAGCAGGAGACATAGCCTATTGGAGGAATCTTTTATTTCATATCTGGAAGCACTCTTCACCATTTATTCCAGCTAATGGGGATATCACTGCATTGTCTTGGACTTCTCCAACTTGAGATGACGATGAATAGATTTATTGTACAGCAATTTATTTAATTAAGTTAATTCTACCAGTATATTTTAATATTTTTTTTATAAAGGTCATGTACAGCTACCTGTTTCTCCACATTTAGTTTTAGAACATAATTAAAAGAGAACTTACTCTCTTTTAATGGTAGCCTTTGTATTTTATAGTGTTTTTCTTGCAGAGCTTCAGAGCCCCTCCTGGGTGGGGTCACGGTGGGGCAGATTTTTTCTTAATTGAAGCATTTGCAAAAGCGGTGGCAGAAGGTGATAAAGCGTATGTCTTATCAGGTATGTACTGTAATGGTATTTTGTTTGTGTGTGTGTGTGTACTTTTCTAATATGAGGTTTGCGATGATATTAGCAATCTTTTAGGGCAAAAATGTGAAATTGGCTTGTTAAAATGAGTGATACAACTTTATTAGCATTCAATATAAGTTTGGTTTTATTTCTCGTAAATTTAATTAATTAATTAGAGTATCGTAGATAATATGAAGGAGATCTTTGACTTTGTGAGTAATAAATGACAGTATGTGAAGTAACAGTTACAGTACAGCTATATTGCATTAAGGTATGTTGGTTGGATTAGAACATACCACAGTATATTAAGGTTAATTGAGATTTCAGTATAAAATTGAGTGTGATGGTAAATTGTTCCTATTGTAACTTTTTCAGGCCCAAGTGTATCTTTGGAAACGCACCTTTTGACATTTGCTGCAGAACATTCAAGGCTGACAGGCCGTGTTGTGAGGCCCAGTGAGGATCCTCGATGGATGGTGTAGTATTTGAAGGATGGGAGAGAGAAAAGTGCAGAAGAGAAGATGATCGAAGGAGTCATGGAGTTATATTACCAAAGTTTTCAAACAGTTCAGTAGAAGAATGATAATTCATTCTACGGTATATAGTGAGAAAGATGGTCTGAAATATGTGATCTTCCAAAGCTTCGTAGTATTTTCCCCATAGGTATAGGTACAAAATATTTTTTGTTTAAATTTTATGGAGCCTTTTTGGGTTAAATCTATATACTGTATATATATATATATACACACACACACACACACACACACACACACACACACAAATTTCTCGGTTAACGAATTACCTTCCATAAGAATATTCATTTCGGTTAACGAAATTCTTACGAAAATGTTTCGACATGCTTTGGCTTGCTAACCAGCTGGAAGATTAGTCTGCCAATACAGAAATCGGTTCTAGGGCTTACATTCGTTAAAATTGGAGTAAATATCAAGAAGGTTGTACTATTCAACAATTTTCCAAGTTCTATATTAAAATTTTTAGTAATTTTAACACTTATCTTACAATATTGCAGTACAGGGAACTAGTTTTTGGTGCGCCCATCAGCCACTTGACTCACCCACCAAGGCCTCAGTTTGTGTCTCTGTTCATTGGAGGTAACATCTTGCTTGTGGGTCTCTTGAACACAGAGTATTTTTACGTTTTTACAGTACAATTATTGGTCATTCTGAAATTTATTTAACATATTGACAATATATAGTGCAGTGCAGTGTTGATTTAAAGAAAATAATCTTGAATTACACCTTGTGAGCTTAAAATTTTATGGGTGAAATGACGGCATAAAGCATGGGGTGATTTCTCTTCCACCCCCACTTCCGTCTCTTCTCCCTTCTCCTCCACCCGCACTTCTAATTCCCATCATCATCATCAACCAGGAGCCTTCTACATACACACCTCAAAGGAACCTTCTACATACACACCTCAAAGTAAGTGTACTTTACTTCATTTTTTTTTTACTTTGTATGTAATTTTCGGTGAGCTGGAACCAATTACACAAAATCCCATTGAAACAATGGATTCGGTTAACAAAATTTTCGGTTAAAGAACGACCTTCTGGAACGAATTGTGTTCATTAACCGAGGGACCACTGTATATACAGTATATTTAAGATGAAATTGTGAAAATATACAGTTGAAGAGAACAGATACAATAAAAAGGTGTGTATAAAAATGTGAGAGGGAGATAGGAAGGAACTGGTTCACAAATAGGGTGGTGGACGAGTGGAACAAGCTTAGCAACTTTGTAGTAAGTGCGGGAACTCTGGAAAGTTTCAAAAGGAGGCTAGATAGATTCATGGATGATAGAGAGTGGTAGTAACTCTCGACAGGAGCTGCCATGCACAGGCCAACCGGCCTATTGCAGACTCCTTATTTTCTTATGTTCTTATGTTAATCCAGTACAGTGGGATATGCTATAACGAATGGATCCTACTACGAATATTCCTATAACGAACGGTTTTACCTATAAAATTGAGAATGCTATAACGAACACAACTCCTACAACGAACGCGGATGAATACGGGACTATTTCGCCTGGCGCATGAATATTGTTGTACCGCGACCCACAACAAGAGCGTCAGGCACCATCTTTGTCTCATTGTGTAGCCAGTGCACCACTGTTATTGTTGAAATTTCGTCTTTTGATGTGGAAATTCGCGTTATTTGTATAACTATTTTGTTATACAAGTATACAATTGTAACAATGAATCGTCCAAAGCGAGTGAGAAAGCTAATAACCCTTGAAACTAAGAAAGAAATTATAAAGAAACGTGAGAATGGAAGAAGCATTGTGAAACTTAGTGATGAATATGGGATGGCTAAATCAACTATATGTATGATTTTGAAGAATAAAGAGGAGTTAAAAACTGTGCAAGTGGCTAAGGGAATCTTTAGACTTAGCAAAGCAAGATGTAATGTGATTGAAGAAATGGAAAATTTACTCTTAGTGTGGATAAAGGAGAAAGAAATGGCAGGTGGTAACGTTAGTGAAGCTATAATTTGTGAGAAGGCTAAACACTTGTTTGAGGACCTTAAAGCCAAGACTCCCAGTGGAAGTGATAGTGCTGTGCCAGTGTTTAGGGGTACCTGCATGCTGAATAACACTAAGGTAAGATAAAGTACCGTATTTTTTACATTTTCCACAGAATTTTTTCAGTGTTAAGTGGTTGTATTTGGGGGCCTGGAATGGATTAATCCTATAACGAACGAGGTTCTGGGACTAATTACGTTCGTTATAGCATACCCCACTGTAATTGGAATGACCTTTCTTTGTTGTTCTTTGAACAGGGGACACTCAGGAAGGTTTGTGGATTATAACATGGTGTGCTGTCATTAAATTGTCTTAAAACAAATGCAAAAATGCTGGTACTGAGTGCTGTACAGTAGTTCAAAAAGAAAACAAAGTTTGTTATTTACGTTGGCTACTGCTCACGACAAGTGTAATAACAGCACTTGGTGTGTATGTGGAGAAGAACTACTAAAAACCTATTTAGTTTAACTACAGATACCCTCAAACAACTACAGTATAGTCTTCATATTATGATACATGGTAAACAGCTATTTTCATAATTTGATATTTTCATGTTTTCCTCCTTTTTTAAACATCCTGGAAGATCACTACACATCCATAATGCACCACAAGTTAAGCAGATGCTCACCTGTGAGATTCTACTCACTGGTACTGCTTTCTCACCAAAAAATATTACACTTTTTGTTAGGAATGTGCTGAAAAACTATGTTTTTTAGTAAATATAGTACTGTATGTGGTTTGTAATACATTCTTGTAATTGCAGCTGCTGTTTGAAGATGCTTCCAGCATCAAGATTATATATTACCACTTGTAGTGGCTTTCATTGTGTGCGTACCACACCAGTGACCAATCACAGGGTTGAAATTCTTTGGGCTGGAGTGCTTCTAAACTTTTACCATTAACATGGGACCATATCGGCAAATGGGTCCTATTGATCGAGAATTCACTTAACAACCACTTTTTCAAAGGAATATTGCTTATTAAGTGGGACCTTTCTTTGTCTGAGTTATATAAGAAATGATCAAGTGGATTGGATAATGTCTTAATTTTTCCCAGCGTCCAGAGCATTTGTATCTGAATCGTTAATATTTTACTCTAGTCTTCATTAATACTGTTTACCTACAATTAGCAATTCTATAATGGTATGTAAAGATTTAAATACATCTTTGAAATATAGATAATTTATCTGATCAAATTATGAATCGTACAGGGAGAAATTCTGAGTTTCCTTTTGTCCCATAAATGCGAGAATCATGTTATTAAATTTCTTGTTTTTCAAATCAGTTTAATGATACATACACTACAGTACTGTATATTGGTAGTTCTCTGTTGGAGTCAAAATCAGCTGTAGTGTTCTGGTGCTTCTCATAAAATTAAAATTTTTGATAAATATTATGCATTTGTATTTACCAGATCTGTAGCATTTATTAACTTCAAGTTATCTTAATGCTGCTTATTAACAGAGCCAGGATAAGAATAAAATAGGCTATTGATGCATTAAATGGTTTTAGTTAATTTTTAATTTTACTTATACATTTACTTTTATCCTCTTTGCCACTGATCGGCTCTTTAGCACCATTGTTGGCAAGTACTGAGCATGAACTGGCTCTTGAATGTATTGGAACCTGCTCCAGTGTTGCTCAAGATCCAGGGCTCCCTCTAGTAGCAGCAAGAATTACATTAGATGCTGCTAAATTTTACCACAGATTTATCAAAATTATCTTAAAACTGAGAAAAATTTTCTCTAAAGATTGCCTTAGTTTTCCGATTGCACAATTAGCATATATTATGATAAAAGTACATTTGTTATATCAGGGTAGTACTGGAGCCTTCTCTAATCACCAAATGTGAGAGGTTTGGATATTAATAAACCATAAATTATATTACATGAAGTTTTAATTATTTCACTTACAAATTACAATTTACCTTAATAACAATTAATTCACGTTGGAAAAAAAATCCTTATGAATCTGAAATAAAAAAGTAACCCTTTGTTGCTTCAATTAAAAAAAAAAGAAAATAGTAATTTTTGTTATGAAACCATACAGACCAATGCTCCTTTTTTTAAAACTAACATCATTAAGAAAATTAAAAATTTTTACATGTGGTTCAATAATAATGAATGTGACCATTGCAATAAAAAGAAAAAACATTGTCTTTGAATCAAATTGAAAATAGAAAATCTGCTCAAACTGATTTTCTATTATCAATTTGATTCTGAGATAAAAAAAAATATATTTTTATAGCAACTGAAATAGTCACATTAATTATTATTGAATCACATGTAAAATTTCCTTTTAAGACCATTTCTGGTGTGCAGTAAATTTACCAGACTAGTACAGTACTTTTCAAACTACAGGGTACTTCTAATATCCGTTTTAATTCTTCGGAAATGGCCGAAGATTCTTTTTACAGATGCATTTGAGTGTGGTAAGGATGATGCACAACCAACTGCTTTTGTGAGATGGGGAATTTTGACTCTCCTATTTCATTTTTCAACAAGAGTTGTTTTTTCCAGAATTGAGTAGCATCTTTCTCCTTTTTAAATTGACCATCTAAGCTTAACTGTCTCCACTCTATGGCTGCAACATGTTTTTCACATATTTTTCTCAATATAAGGTAGAGTTACAAATACAGCTGCTCCTCGACTTACGACGGGGTTAGGGACCCAAATCCAGGTCGTTAGTCGAAAATGCTTAAATAATATATAGAAAATCTAAAATGGGCGTCCCTTTTTCTTCTCAGCACCACAAAACTCTCACTTTTAAGCTTGCCTGCCAACCATTTTAAAGTGAATTACAAACAAAAATTTTGTCAGTACACAGAAAATCACTAACGTTTGGACTTGAAAATACGTAATTTGACAAAATTTTGACACGACACTGGCGGTCATATGTCCGGGTGGTCATAGGTCGAGTATGTCGTAAGTCGAGGAGTAGCTGTATTTTCCCTAGACTACTAGGTTTTTCTGTCAAACGCATTTTCTGGTTTGAAATTTTTTTAAATTTTTAAAGGAGCAGTTGTAAACCTTGACCTAGTTTGCACCACTAATTTAATTAAGAATGCCTGACAGCTTTGTTGATTCCCTCAATGTCACTACTAATGGTAGATTGTGAAAGTGTTTCGGTAGCATGAATACCAACATATACTTGCTTAATGGCCAATCTTAGATTGACATTATGAACGTCAATGGCAAAAGGGTCACAATCACTTACGTGTTTAAGACTGATGAAATCACTCATGATCTCACATAACAAATTTTTAACATGACCATGCAAATACTGAAGCTTAAGTTTGTCACTCTGAAACAATTTATTAAACTCATTTGTCCTATGCAACTGTACTTGCATAAATTGCAACTGAGCTTCAATGAATGGATTGTTCAGGTTATTGAGAATAATTTTCGTTACATATGACGGATCTCACCTTTCACTGATGATTGCTGTGAAATACAGCTTCAAAGCATCCCATTGTTCTAAAAGTCTACTTACACGTACTTCAAGGGACAACCATAGTGTCTGCTCAACACTCAAAAGTTTGTGAGGAGATATATCAAGGAAGTGTTGAAATTCTTCTTATTCATGCCTTCGTAAACTTGATCTACTAAAGTGAGAGTACAGTATACATTTCTACACAATAGTATACTGTACATTTCTACACAAATCTTCTTAAGAAGTTCAGAGTTTTAGGCATGCCTGTGATACACACAGATGGCACGTCATACTACCACTGTAAAGAACGTCCGAAATTCTGCATGGTCTCCCACGACTGACGACAATAATTTGTTTACAGAAATTCAGAGAAAACTAAAAATTTCTAAAAAATCTTATTTTTTTAATTCAACATTTTACCTCAAATTTATCCTATTTTGATAAAATAGAATAGAAATTTACCTCAGAATTACCTTAAATGTACCCAAATTACCTTAAACTAAGGTAATTACCTTAAAAGTGAGAGCCAACACAACCCTCTCTGGCAGATTGTTCCAGGAGTTCACAATTCTCACTCTGAAAAAGTTTGCCCCTCACTGTTTTCTGGACTTGTGGCTTCTCCAACCTTGAGCTGTGACCCCTCGTGGGGCAGGTGTCTGCCAGCTCCAGGTATATATATTCAACCGAGTAGTGCCCTCTGAGATGTTTATACAATTAAATTATGTTGCCCCTTGCCTGTCTGTAGTATAAGCTAGGCAGTTGCAGGCATTTTAATCTCTCTGGGTAGCTGAGGTTCTGTAGAGCAAGCACTAGTTTAGTGGCCCCTCCTTTGGACATTTTCAATCAATTGACAGTCTCAAGCAGATCTTGGGGACCAGGCGGGAAAGCACCTCAGTCTTGAAGGTCGTTACGAGGGATGGACCATCTAGATATCTGAATACTCTTCTTTTAAGGATTTTTACAAGGCGTTTCACAAAGTCCCACATGCACAACTAGCCTCTAAGAGCCAGGCACATTGCATCACATGCAAGATTTTGAAGTGGATTAACAGGTGGTTTGAAGACATGCAACAAAGAGTGGGAATAAATGGAGTACAATCTGAATAGATAAAGGTTCTCAGTGGAATACACCAAGGCTCTATCTTTGTACTCATCCTGTTTGTGATCAACATAAATGACATAGATTAAAACATATCAAGTCACATTGTCAAGTTTGCAGACAACACAAAGATATTTGGAAAGTAGCAAGTTAAAATGATGGTGCAACAGTGAAGAAAGACATGCATAAGTTGTTCAAATAGTCACAAGACTGACAATTGCATTAGAAAATGCAAGACCCAACATATAGGATACAACAACTCTTATCACAATTTTTGTATTTTGTTAATAACAATTTCCTGGATATCATCAATTAAGAGAAAGATCTAGGTATTATGATGGATCATTCAATGAAGACAGCACAACAAATGGGAGCATCAGTGAGAAAAGCAAACTGAAATTTGGGAATTATAAAGTGTACCTTCGAATACAAAGATAAGAAAATCTTTCAACTGTACAGATCTCAAGTATGCCCCAGTCTGGATCACTGTATACAGGCATGGATACCCTACCTCCACCTCCAGAATGACCTAGCATCCCTAAAAAGGTGCAACACAGAGTGAATAAGATTCCAGAACTATGTCATCTCGATTATCCTAGTAGACTGAGGGCCTTGGGACTAATAACCCTTCAGATAAGGCACAATACGGCAGATCTCTTTGAAACTTTAAAAAATCTTGAAAGGGATTGAAAACATAAACCCGAACCACTTCTTTGTAATGTCATGCTCCACCAAAACGAGGGGACTTAACTACAAGCATGCCAAGTTATCAATGTAGACATACTTTTTCACATAAGAGAGAGGGTGGTAGACCTATGGAATGGTCTACCAGCCCACGCTGGTATAGAAAATTAATCAAATGATGACAAACACATGTTAGATATGAAATATGACACAGGTGTAGCATAGGACATATGACAAAGTTGTAACTTAGGATATTTATTAAAAGATAATGCAAACATGTCGCATATGAATTATGACTAATGTAACTTGTATTGAAAACTAATTAAGTGATATGCACACATGTCACATATGAGGTATACTGTAACATGAGTTGTAAACAAGAATATTGTATGTAATGTTGCTTAACCACTAATTATACCCCCAAGTACAGTATAGAACATTAAATGATGATATAAATGTAACAGAGTTGTAACCTGTTTCTGCTAGTGTTTACTTTTACACTTATCAGTTATGTAGTAAATTTTCCTTATTTGTTTTTAGTTAAATATGTAAAAAAAAAAAAAGCTGTTTTTATTCTAAGAATCCTCAGTCTATACCAGTCACAGTCGAGGTGTCTGACAAAAGCATCTCAAGAGCCGATTCAACATCCTCTCTCTCATATACTCACACACAGTTTACATATTCCTCAAGCCAATATACAATCGTGGATAATCTTACAACTGGAGGGAATACATTTGTTTTGGTTGTTAGGAGGCATTTTTCAGCTGTTTCTGAGTTCACTTTTTACTGTATGTCGTGAAAAGATAACAAGAAGGCTTTGTAGTGTTAAAGTTATGATGTCTCGCACTCAGGATGGGTTGGAGAAGGGAAACTCTTAATGGCAGTTTTCTTATATAAATATATTCTATGCAAAACAGTCTGATGCTGGGAAGTTGCTGCGTGGTAGAGGAGTTGTTGTGCAGGAGCTTCTTTAGAGGAGGTGTTGTGTGTTGCAGGGCTCTAGGTAGAATGGACATCATGGCGAGGCTGGGAGCTTATATACACGTCCACCGGAAGTAAGCGTTGCCGATGTCGACCCCCCCCCCCGCGAGTCAGACGGCTAGGCTTGTCAGAGAAACTTCGTCGCGGGATCGGCTGATCAGCGACTAACGGCAGTGGCAGTTGTAGGGGAGAGTATCCACTACAATACTTCCCCTCCTCTCCGAGCGCTGCAGGACACCTGTTGTCGGCAGGGTTGTATCCAACATGTGAGACATAACGGGCGGGGGTGTGGACTACTCGGCCGCTACGGGTGACGACTCCGTCTAGGGACATGAGATCTGTGGGAGAAGCAGAGGGAGGAGGGTTGTGGAAAAGAGAAGGTTGAACAGGCAGCAGGTGCAAGGTCCTCAGTGGCGCCGGGTGGGGTGTCTGGGTCCATAGGTCCAGATGCAGGATCCTCATCAGGAGCAGGGTCCGTATCAGGAGCAGTAGGTACCTGAGGATGGAAAGAGGGTACGCAGAAATATTGTGGGCGAGGTGGTGCTGCAAGTGGCAATTGTGGGCAGACAGGCAAAGGAGGTGCGGGATGAATGTGTTCAGGGCGATAGGAAGGCTGGCGTGGGGCAGTAGCCTTGAATGCAGAAACTGCCTGTCGTAGTGTTTGCAGTAGGTCGTGACGGGCAGCAGGAGCGAAGTGGTCAAGGTCAGAAGTAAGGCGTGTGGTGTGCTGCTTGATAGTGTCGGTGACTGCGGCACGTGTACCCCGGATCGTGTGTGCTGTAGGCTCATGGATGAGGCAGAGGTTGCTTGGGTTGACAACGAGTTTGTGGAAGTGGAAGGTGAGGAAGTCGAACCCAAGGATGGGTTGAGAGACATCTGCCACCACGAAGGACCAGCGCAGAGTCTTAGGAAGACCAAGGTCTAAGGCGAGGATGTATGTGCCGTAGGAAGCGATGGGGGTCCCGTTGGCAGCGAACAAGTCGTAAGAGGGTTGCTTTGATGTGTCTTGCGGCGAGGGAGGGATGATGCTGACTGATGTCCCTGTGTCAACGAGGAACTTCCTGCCTGAGATGCGGTCGGTGATATGCAGCAGTGAAATGCCTGAAGTGACGGAGGTTGTGGCGTCTATCAATCCCGTCGATGTTGTTTCCTTGTGTAGTTGCAGGGAGCCTCACAGTGTCTAGCGTTAGCACCAAAACGTTGATGGTACCAACAGAAGGAAGGTACACTGTGCTGGGGGCTGGCGGCGGCGTTTAAGGCAGGAAGGGGATGTCGGTGTCGGTAGGACACAGTGCGTGGGGCAGGGGCAGGATCAGCAGCAGGATTGATGGAGTAGAGCTGCTCGATGGTGTCCATCCTGCGGTGCAGAGACTGTAGCAGGTCCCTCGTGTCTTGTGTAGTGTTACTTGTCCAGGGAGCGTTGATCTGATCGACAACATTGGAAGAAAGTGACGGTGAGACCGCTGAGTTGTTCGCGGCAGCATGGTCCACAGTTTGGCATTGACGGAATACTCTGTCTGCCGTGGCTGCATAGGTTGCCGAGGTAGTAGAGAAGTCCAATGCCGAGAGGATGACACGAACTTCTACAGGGAGCTTCTGAGTGTGAAGCTCGTGCAGGATACTGTCAGGAAGCCTGTCTCTGTGGCAAGAGTTCAGTCTCTGCATCTCGTCCCAGAGACGTCCAGGTGTTGAGTTGCCGAGGGACAAGTCGGATAGGTCTTGCAGGATATTGGTGTCAGGCCGCTGGTATCGCCTCTCGAGAGCATCTCGTAGAGCTGCGAATTTGTCGTCAGTTGGAGGGTTGGTGATGACTTCTGCTACTTGTGTGGCGACTTCTGTGGGCAGCAGGGAACAGACCAGGGCAACGTACTTCTGTTTGTCTGTAGCTGTTGAGCTGCAGTCTTCAATGTTGTGATTGAAGACTGGGAGAGTGATCCGTTTCTCCTCCATCCTGTGTGAGTGCGTCACTACGGGGTCACTATTTGTAGTGTTAACGTTATGATGTCTCGCACTGAGGATGGGTTGGAGACGGGAAACTCTTAATGGCAGTTTTCTTATATAAATATATTATATACAAAACAGTCTGGTGCTGGGAAGTTGCTGCGTGGTAGAGGAGTTGTTGTGCAGGAGCTTCCTTAGAGGAGGTGTTGTGTGTTGCAGGGCTCTAGGTAGAATGGACTTCACGGCGAGGCTGGGAGCTTATATACACGTCCACCGGGAGTAAGCGTCGCCAGTGTCGACCCCCCCCCCCCACGATTCTAGATGGCTAGGCTTATCAGAGAAACTTGATGAGAGTCTAGACAGCTAGGCTTGTCAGAGAAACTTCGTCGCGGGATCGGCTAACGGCAGTGGCAGTTGAAGGGGAGAGTATCCACTACAGCTTCAAGATGTTGTGGTTTAATGACTTGGTGATGAAATGTTCGGTTCAGACTGGTGTCCGAGATCTCGTCCAAAATTATTCCAAGCTTCCCACTCGACGGCACATCTGAGATGATAAGCTCTACAACGAAATTTGACACGATCTCTAATAATTCAGTATGGATATCTGGTGATGTCCATTGATAATGCACCTGAAGATGACTGCAATTTTCCTTGGAGCCAAAGGAGGTCCTTGCACCTGATTTGTAATAATTCTAAAAAGTTATCTCTATTCGTGTCTGAAATTTCTCCAATTTTTTATCTTTTTTCATCATGTCCTCTAAGTGCAATGTTTTGTTGAGCTGTAAAGATGAGGGATTCGATGATTACACAAAGATACTTGCGATTGTTGAGGATTTGTTCTTTATGAACTGTTTCTAATTCATGGAGAACAGCTGATATTTTGCTAGTGTTGTGGCAAACAGGAATGACTGAATTACAGTATCTGAAATAACACAAACATTGACCATTAATTATTTAGGTCAAAACTTTGATTTGGAACACAAAAAGTGGATAATAACTTGAAGTTGTGAGTAATAATATGATGTTCACACAAACTTATGGTACATAATTAATGAAGTATAATATTGCTTTACTTCAACATGTAAATACACGACTACTCTAAATTGAGTCTTCTATGTCTATTACAGAACTCAAAATGGCCAAATGTGAAAATGAAGAATTTCGGCATTACCTATACTTAGAAATTAAACTTAACGAAGAATAATCAAACATAAAGAATTAAATCTAACCTAATGCATTGTCAGGAAAATAGAAAAAAGTAGTCAGGATTGGAAAGAAAGTCCTAAATCAAGCATTCAAAAAACACGAAATATCTTTTGGCGGCTAATATTGATGACTGACCCACCGACGAGTTATTTGTTTTGGTGTTTATTTTCTCAATCTATTTTCATCAGTGAGTTCTATGATAATAATTTATCATGCAAATGCTTCGTTTGGTAGATAATAAGGCATTTAAAGTGTGCACTGCTCTGTCTTCTTGATGGTAATGTGGCACTTGTTAAGTTATGCTAGGTTTTGTTAAGGTAAGATAAGGTTAGGTGAGGTTAAGTTAGTTTAAGGTTAAGTTAGGTTTAGGTTAAGTTAGGTTGGGTTATTAAAAAAAAAATGTACAAACTACTACAGTGTCCTCTATAAAACACAGTGAAATTGTGGCACTTATGGTTTTATTAGGTTGGGTTAAGTTAGGTTAGCTTGGAGAAGGACGTGCCCCTAAGTGCTCGTGTTAGTGACCAGAGGAAATGGCCGCCATGGATCGTTGTGTTGTGGGGGAAGAGGGGCGGAGTGTGAGGAAAGACGACCCCCTGGCCACTCTGTTAAGTCAGCTGGAGCAGTTGAGGAGAGAGATAGACGCTCTAAAGGGGGAGAACGAAGCCCTCAGGACTGACCTCCTTCAGGTAGTGCGAAGGAGGAGCAGGCGTGGAGAGTGGTTGTTTCCAATGGGACTAGGGTCAGACTCAGGAAAGCTGACCAGGGTGTGGAGTATAGTAACCCCTACCAAGTGTTGGAGGAAGCTGGTGAGGAAGAGAAGAGGCAGGACGATGTGGTGCCAGGAGAGAAAAGGGCAGTTCAATGTAAGGGCGGAAACAATCTTTCTGCTCGTTACCGCTGCTTACTCGCTCGTTTGCTGGCGCGATCCCCACTTGGGGGGTTGGACGGAGGTGTGAACGGCGCTGCTACCAGTGTCACCGGCTCAGATCCTACTCGGCTGTCAGTACAGTCACTACCTCCCCCGCTGTTCGTCAAATTCTGGCTGTGATCTCATCAAAGGCTCGGGACTCGTGGGCTGTGTCCCCAGACCTTCACCTTATCGACTGTCAATCCTCTGTACCCCATACCACGACCGTCAGTTCATCTCCTCCGTCTGTGCCCCGGTGTTCTTCTGATATCAAGACATCGGCCGCTGTCGCTCGCGTGAGGACCCTCCCCCTGAGAGTGGATCATTGCGTTCCAGAACCTTTCCCAGGGCCGCTGCCGGAGGAAATATCTGTTCATTGTTTGATTCTTTTGTTGTTTGATTCCTTTAATTGCTGATTCCCATTCATTGTTTGATTCTATCAGTTGTTGACTCCCATTAATTGTTGATTCCATAAATTGTTTGATTTCATTAATTGTCTGATTCCATTAATTGCTGACTCCCATTAATTGTTTGCTTCCCTTAATTGTTTGACTCCATTAACTGTTGACTGCATTAATTGTTTGACTCCCGTAATTGTTATTTGATGTTTGTTGAGTGGTGTCAGAGTTTTGTGTAACATTATTATAGTAAAGAGATGTCAATCTCAAACGGTTGTCTGTTATTCCTCAGAAAACCATGGTCCTTGACTTTCCTTTTTTAAGATCCTGATTAGTCTGGTAAGGGATTTCTATCCCTAAGTCCCAGGCCTTTACATTCAAACCCTGCCCAGTAGTAAGGTCGTGGTAGTTGGGGACAGCCTGGTGAAGTTTTTAGATAGGACTTTTTGTGCAGGAGATAGGAAACGTAGGACTAGGGTGTGTTTTCCTGGGGCTGGGACAGGGCATGTAGCTGAGAGGATAGATAGGGTTTTGTCAGGGGAGGGTATCAAACCAGTAGTGTGTCTTAGTGTGGGAGGTAACGACATAGGAAAGATTTGAGGAACTTTTCAAGAGGTATAGGGAGGCGCTGGGGAAGGTTAGAGATAGGGGAGGGATCCCGATAGTATGTGGTGTCTTGCCTAGAAGGGGAGTTGGTCGTGAATGGCTGTCCAGGGCAATTGCTATAAATTGACGACTGGAAAAGCATTGTGCAAACAATGGTTGGGCATTCATTGATAACTGGCAACCATTCTATGGCAACGACTACCTGTACAGTCGTGACGGAGTACACTTGCCTCGTGTGGGGGTAAAGACGTTGTCTGCATCCCTGGAGCGTGAAATTGTCACTCCAAAGGAGGGATTTCGCCAGTAGAGAGAGGTCGGGGTAAGTGGAAGTCAAAAAACAAGCAGGTCCTGGGAAGTAAAATTGGTTACTCAGGACAAGGGGTAAAACAGGACCAGGGAAGGGTAGGTTTAAATGTATACTATAAAAAACAGTAGGAGTGTTAAAAATAAAATAGAATTGCTGAAAGCGGTTGTATGTACTGAGTAAGTAGATGTCATAGCAATCACCGAAACTTGGATGAATCTGGCGAGCAAAAACTTTTTATCGGAGTACCACATAAAGGGTACAACCTTTTTCACAAGGACAGGGAAGGTAGGAAGGGGGGAGGGGTAGCACTCTTCGTCAGGGATACATTAAAATGTATTAATAATTCAATAAAGGGTGAAATAGGAACCGAGTCTGTATGGGTAGAAATTACGGAAGGAAGAGAAAACTAATTAATGGGATAGAAGCAGCTCAGCCCATATAGCAGGAAATGAGTAGGGCAGCAAAATACAACAACCTATGCATTATGGGGGATTTCAACTTCAGAAGTATTGACTGGGACAACATTGTAGGTGACTATGAATCTGAAGACTTCCTAGATGCAGTACAGGAAAATTTTTTGAAACAACTAATTACAGAACCTACTAGAGGTGACAATATATTAGACCTAGTATTAACAAATAAAGAAAATATTATCAGAGATATCACAGTAGGGGAAGAACTAGGGAACAGTGATCACAGAGAAATCAGTTTCACCCTAAATTGGGAAACGAAAAACAATGACAATATGGTCAGAGACCCAAACTTTCGATTGGCGGATTAATTATCAGGGGTTAAGAAGGTACCTAGGTGAGGTCGCCTGGGAACAGTCAGGTCAGTCCCCAGTAGGAACGGGTGAGGTCACTGGTGACACAACAATTGATCATGACAATAATACCTGGTATATTCACTGGTATACTACAAGAACAAAATATACCATACAGAAAAATTAGGTAAAATAAGAACGAGCCAAGGTGGACGACCAGAAAACTTGAACATGACATAGGAATAAAGAAAGGAATATATAAGAAATTAAAGGGAGGGGAGGAGCAGCTCAGAAATAGGTATAATGAACTATCTAGGAATGTTAAGAAAAATATAAGGAAGGCAAAGAGGTACTACGAAATCAGGATAGCAAGAGAATCCAAGGTGAGTCCCAAGGGATTTTTCCAGGTATATAGGACAAAGGTCAAGGACAAAGTTGGGCCTTTAAAATCAGAGAGAGAAGTGATCGATGACGGTGAGGAAATAAACAAAGCATTAAACAGCTACTTCTTATCAGTTTTCACAGAAGAAATTCACGAGGAAATTCCAGAGGTGGAACTGATATTTAGGGGAAATGAAGAAGAGAAATTAAAGAATATCACTATCAGAAAAGAGGATGTTCTTAAGAGGATAAATAAATTAAAGAAGACAAAATCCCCAGGGTCTGATGAAATTTTCCCTCGAGTTTTGAAAGAGTGTAAGGAACAGATTAGCAGACCCCTCGTAAATTTATTTACAAAATCATTAGACACGGGAGTAGTGCCAGACTTGTGGAAACAGGTACTGTATATGTAGTACCCATATTCAAAAAGGGAGACAGAGCATCAGCGTCAAATTATCGGCCGATTAGTTTGACGTCAGTCGTGGGGAAATTTCTTGAATCAATTAAAGCAAATAGCATCCAATCGCATTTAGAGAAAAACAAATTAATCTATGACTCTCAACAAAGGGAAAATCTTCTCTAACAAATCTGCTGACTTTTTTAGGAAAGTCTTTGAGGTAGTAGATAATGACAAAAATACGATGTTATTTACTTAGACTTTAGCAAACCGTTTGACAGAGTACCGCATCAGAGGCTTCTGAGAAAAGTTAAGGCTCATGGTATCGAGGGGAAAGTTTTAAATTGGATAAAATCATGGCTCACCGATAGAACACAGAGGGTCAGCGTAGATGGTGTTAAATCTGAGTGGGGCTGTGTAACCAGTGGGGTTCCCCAGGGGTCAGTACTGGGCCCACTCTTGTTCATAATCTACATAAACGATCTAGATACTGGGATCAGCAGTGACATAAGCAAGTTTGCGGATGACACCAAAATAGGGCGGCAGATTAATTCAGGGTAGGATGCAAATGCACTACAGGAGGATTTAAATAAACTGCAGGAATGGTCAGAAAAATGACAAATGAAATTCAACACCAGCAAGTGCAGCATACTTAATGTTGGAAGAACAAATACTGTCAATGTATACAGCCTTAACAACATCAACCTAGAGAAGTCGACTTGTGAAAGAGATTTAGGGGTACTTGTAAGCCCGGACCTGCGGCCTAGAAAACATTGCGTTAATGTTCAAAATAAGGCAAACAGAGTATTAGATTTTATATCTAGAAGTGTAAGTAATAAGAGTGCAGAGGTCTTATTGCTACTATATCTTGCACTAGTCAGGCCGCACCTCGATTATGCGGTTCAGTTCTGGTGCCCTTATTATAGAATGGATATCAATTCACTAGAGTCGGTGCAGCGAAGAATGACGACAATGATTCCGGGACTTAGAAACCTTCCATATCAAGATAGGTTAAAGAAACTAAACTTGCATTCCCTAGAAAGAGGAAGAGTGCGGGAAGATGTGATAAAAGTATTTAGGTGGGTGAAAGGAATCAATAAAGGAGATATAGATAAAGTTCTTATAATATCAGAGCAGGATAGGACTTGTAGCAATGGATTTAAGTTGGATAAGTTTAGGTTTAGGAAGGAGATACAGTGCTGGATTAACCATGAGGCACTTGAGGCACTGGCCTCAGGCCCCCCGACTCTAAGGGGCCCCCCAAATCCAAACATTCTCGAAGTTGAAGCATATAAATATGAACTTCGTTCAATGATGTCCTAGCAACGTCTCAATTTTCTGTCTCTTATGAACGCTGAATGTGTTATTTTGCAGAAGCTTAATATTGATGAAATCATTGATAAATTTTGGTTTATTTTGTTCTTGCTATATATATACACCTTGAGGGTAGGGGGCCCCAAGTTGATCTGTGCCTCAGGCCCATATTAAGCTTAATCCGGCCTTGGGGAGATAGGAAGGAACTGGTTCACAAATAGGGTGGTGGATGAGTGGAACAAACTTAGCAACTTTGTAGTAAATACTGGAATGCTGGAAAGTTTTAAAAGGAGGCTAGATAAGTTTATGGATGATAGAGTGTGGTAGTAACTCTCAACAGGGGGTCCGACTAATTACCCAAATGTAGCCGCAGTGAAGTCAAATAATGGTCCTACATGAATAAATCGGACTGCCAATCACTTCTCGACTGGTATTTGGTGTCACGAAGTCACAAAAAATTGGTAAACTTAATTTAATCTGAGTTAATAGATCGAGTGCATGTACCTAACCTAACCTAACACAACTCAGATTAAATTAAGTTTACCAATTTTTTGTGACTTCGTGACACCAAATACCAGTCGAGAAGTGATTGGCAGTCCCATTTATTCATGTAGGACCATTATTTGACTTCATTGCGGCTACATTTGGGTAATTAGTCGGACCTCTGGAAAGACAGGAGCTGCCATGCACAGGTCAATTGGCCTGTTGCTACTCCTATTTTCATATGGTCTTGTTATTAAAAAAATTACACACAGTACTACAGTGCCTTCTATAAAACACAGTGAAATTGCTGCGTTTTTATAATCGTTTATTATAAATAACCGCCGGAGGGTCAGTCGTCAATAACTACCAAATCACTAATGAGTTAAGATATTCTGCCCAAAGAGTACCAATCAAACCTTCACATACCGTTTTTTACTAAGAAACCTCGAATAATTTACTGGTTCACATAGTTGTTCATGATAGACTCAACACTAGAGCTTCACGTTTCCCGCCATGTGCTCTCAGTGATCACCTCCAGGACACACACGTTAATAGTCCCTCATAAAAGAATCATTCTCTAATTCATATTTATTCATATTAGAAAATAAATTATATATATTATTCTAAAAATATACGTTTCACCTTTTTTTCTATTTCGTGAAGGTATATCATTATAAAATTAGGTGTGATCACTGTAGCCGGGTGAAGGACTCGGACACAGGAGACCTTGACAAACATAAACACAACTGGCTGAGGCAGGTGTGTGTCTGTTGTCTGGTCCATTACTTAAGGAATGGGTAAACTTAATTTTGTAAACAATATCACTTGTGTCATTTAGGAGTGGATAAAGAATAAGCTTACTTTAGAAACTTGAAATTGTAAGTGAAAACATAATTCGCGGGTAGATAGTGCGCCCATCAGCACAGTGAAGACATTTTACAGGCAGTTCACCACAGCCTTTAAGTGGATGTAAGACTTAATTTATAGTTGATAGGTATTATTTTACTTGCTGGAATTTTAATCATGCACCGGTCATTCTCTTGCTGTTTTTAATATGTATTTCGTAATGTTTAGATAATTGTAAGACATTTTCCTTCTATGATATTTCCGCCGGAAATTAAGGATAACCGATAAATTATTTTTTCAATATTATTAGATTTGCTCTGTCACAATTGTAGCCATGATTACATCTGGAGAAGTGAAAAACTGTTTGTTAAGTGAATTCACTCATTTTCCCACAGGATCATATGCCCTAACAGTCCAGGACCAAGAAGTGCTTTAGCCAACAACATCCAGGTGGGAAATGGAGGTAAGTTGTATAATTTGTGTCATTTTTGGTAATAGATATACTGTATGCCTTATGCAGTACAGTATTAATTTTAACTGCTTATAAAGGAGGAATCATGACTACCTCCGAGAAAGGAATACCGATACTGGAAACTATTTTCCTGTACAGTACCTCTTGATCTCTTTGACAGTAAGTTGGAGGGAAGTAGGGTGGGTTTCCTCTCCTTTGAGGGTGATATTAATTTTAATTATCACCTTTGCCACTTGTCAGGTTACTAGCTGGTTGGGTGGTTGATATGTTCTCTGTTACACACTGTTGGCAAGAGCCTGTACATACCCAGTATGTACAGGCTCTTGAGTGTACCTAAACAAGTACCTGTGTTAGTGAAGTCTGGAATAAAATGAGCTCACACTTGGTGCTGTCACAACATTTTCTGGCAGGTTATTCCAAAAGTTAAAAATTTTTACTTAAAGAAGTTCACTGTCAGTTTTTGATGCTGTGATGCCTACTGAGGTGGCTTTCTGTTACCACCAGATACAGACAGTCCTCCCCAATGTATGAAGGTTTGGTTTATGAAAATCTGAAATTTTTGCCAAGTAAAGTGAAAATACAGTATGCTAAAATAATGTTGTTTTTTCTTATTTACTACCAGTACTCATTCTTATTTCACCAACTTGTTTTATTATTCTCTAACACTCACAGTGTTATTAAGTCTACACTTGTAATAAGCCTTCAATGTGTCATCATTCTCTTACAATCATCTTATGACTTGCTCCTCAAACCACTGAGGACAAGTAGACTCGCCTCCACCAGCATAGTCCCTCAGCCAGTTGCTTGAGTGTATTATTTCTTATCATTTACTCTCGTGTTGTACTGTACTGTACTGAAGGTGACAAAATAAAATTATCGTCTATTTTTAAATTTCATATGATAATACTGTACTTCTGTATGTACAGTAGATAAAACAACTCTCTGTGCAGGTGGGGGTCGATATGCTCTGAAATTTTGCGTGTGACTAGTGACAGCCCTCATATACCAAAATTTATCGTCCATGTTCTCATATTGTTTCCCACAAAGTATGCACAGATAGTTGTTTTAGCTACTGTACAACAAAGGTGTTGAGTTGTAAGAGAAAGTGTGGTACTGTATTGGGATGTGAACAAAACTTTGTACAAGAGAGTGGGTGTATTGTAACTGTTTAATGGCAGTGTTCACACCATGTACTGTAATAAAGCAGCAGGAATTTAGGATGTCACAATAACTCATCTGGGGTTGAATGTAGGATCTTTTTTTTTTCTTCTTTGGAGAGAATGTGTTTCCAATTAGATAGAGGCTGAAAGACAATGTATATTAAAATATTTATTTTATGTATATGTAATTCAATAAGAGTACAGTACTGATACTTGGGAATGGATGTGGTCCAGTATCTGTGCTTGGCCAGTTCTGTCACCCTCCTGGTCAGTGCCCATGTTGACACTGGGCAGCTCTTGTGCTTTGAGTGTTGTGTTTTGCTCCTTAGGGTTAATATCAAGGTTTTGGGTAAAATCGGTGGTAGTAAGAGTGGATTACATTATATAAAGATAATAATATGTCGCATTTCTTATTTCTTACCGTAGAGTTCGATACCTTCACACTGATTACTTACAGGAGATTATGGCGTATCTACGAAGAAGTTCACTCTACCACTCGACATTCCATGATTTATACTTGATAAATGATGATTTAATGAATTCCATTAATTTCCAACATCCATCTAAGTTGTTGGTTATACTTTGTCATAACCAATCAGTCATTACCTTTAGTAATAATAATATAGGATCACAGATACGGGCAGATAATTGCACTTACATTTATTTGTCAAGCTTCCATACAATGATTTACAATTTGCATGGATATATGAGTCACTCACATTCACGCTGTAATAAAATTAATCTTCTAAAAGAGAATTTCAACTTGGGGACACATGTGGTTACTCTGCTATGGGTATGACTTAACAGAGCCTTAATTCTTCAAGTGATACATTTACTGCCAGCCTGGATTGCTTTTGTTGCAACCAGGCTTCATCACAAGAACTTCTTTCCACGGGCCATAACAACAAAAAGTACTCTTGGGTTACCACACATAGTCTCGCGTCACTGACAGTCACTGTAGACGGTTGTCGCGGCAAGGAGAACTGTTAAGCGTGACTTGAATTAACCATTTAGGTGCAATAGACCAGCCTGGATTGCTTTTGTCTCAACCAGGCTTCCACACGTGATATTTCCACGGGGATAACCAACCTAGGTTAACACACTTAGTCTCGTGTCGATCACGGTCACAGTAGACGGGTGTCGTGCAGGAGAACTCTGTAAGCGTGAATTGATTAACCATTTACCGTAGGTTTGATAGGCCAGCCTGGATTGCTCTTGTCGCAACCAGGCATCCACACGTGATATTTCCACGGGAATAACAACCTAAGTTAACACACTTAATCTCGTGTCGACGACGGTCCACAGGCGGAGTGCGGTGGAGGACTCTGTGTGGTGTGGTGCCCCGCTCCCTTTCAGGAGGGAGAGAGTCAAGACGACTTCTTAACTAACCCATGGCTCAGGGGATACTACCTAAAATGAGGTTTTTTGGGCGTGAAGCGATGAGCAGTACAACACTGTTTCACTGCCCACCCCCCAAAAGGCTGGCTAACATGCACTAATGGAAAATACATGTCCCAGTTATGCCTCGCCGGGTGTCTTATCTCTAGTAAAACAAACTTTGGAGTTGGTTGCGTGGGTAAGCCTAACACAACCCATGACAGTTAACATGTAGTGCAAAAGTTAGATGAGTTACTCTGACAGTAAACAAAAAAGTGGAGCTTTTATGTAACACTGGAGCAGTGATAATGTACAGTTGGGAACTTCTTCAACCGATACACTCAATATTGTCAGTCCACCCTCTCCATGAGATGTGAACCCCAGGAGTCTCGACTCATGAATCCGATACCTCAAATTTCCTATGACATCATTGTGATGTTAGGCAGGCGCCCTCTGACATCTCGGTGACATTACTTGGGGGTTCTCTGATGTTATTGTGACGTCAGGCAGGGGCCCTCTGACGTCTCAGTGACATTACTTAGGGGTTCTCTGACATCATAGAGACATTACAGGAGGTTCCTCTGTTGTCATTGTGACATCAAGGCGAATGCTTTGACACAGAGTTGTAAAAAGTACCGAAGTTTGTTACTTAAGTAAAAGTATTGTTACATTGGCAAAATGTTAATCAAGTAGAAGTAAAGGTATCCAAAGATTAGTGTACAGTCGGCCCTTAACATACGCGGGGGTTACGTAACAGAGATACCCGTGGATGTTAAAAATCCGCGTATTTTTGCTGCCCCACCCCAAAAAAAAACCCTGGCCGCCCCCCCATGTCCTTATTTACCGTATATACCTGTGTGTAGTTTGAGTTTTTAAGACCAAATTATTTGGCAAAAAATTGGGGATCGACCTCTAAACGGGTAATAGTTTCGTTAGGTTGAAAAATATTTACCAGTAACTACTAGTAAACAATGGAAACGATGCACCAACGCACCACCAGCTGTGAGTGTCGGTACAGTTGCCAGGGCAGATCTCTTGCGTCATCATAGCAAGCCCAAAGTAGCCAAATCCATGGTATGGTAGCACAGGACGATGTAAAACATAAAGTATTCATTTATTAAAGTTTATTTATAGATACTGGATATAAATTTTTGTTCATTACATTTGAAACATCAATCTTTGTTAATTAAATTTGCAACAAAAGGAAACTACGATACCGTATTTTCATTAAAATATTACATCACAAGTATATTTTACCTTAACTGTGACTGAATGAATATACGTATTCTCAGAAATAAATATGGAAATATAATATTTTTGCTGGAATGACGTACATATTACAGTGGAAAGTGGGATAAAATCATGACGAAAACAATGACTTTCGCTTTCTTTCGTTCAAAAGATTTTGCCGTAATCGCTTTTCTAATGGTTTTCAGTTAAAAAACTGTTGTACTCGTACTGTATTACAATAATATTCTATCCTATCATTAGCCTTATAATCCCACAACTGAAAACCATTCGAAAAGCGATTACGGTAACATCTTTTGAACGAAAGAAAGAGAAAGTCATTGCTTTCGTCACAATTTTATCCCACTTTCCACTGTAATACGTACATCATTTCGGCAAAAATATTACATTTCCATGTTCTCAGAAATAAATGGTAGTTTCGTTGAAACGTAATGTACAGTATTTAATATTAAAATGCAAAAATAGCTATAAAAACAATTAATACACCCGTAATATACTGGCTGGCATTTCCACTCGTCCCTCCTCCCGCGTCCAAGGTCACCACTCCTCCCAACTCTCTCCCTCCGCTCCCTCCTCCGCCTCCTCCACCCCTCCACCTCCTCACCGTCACTACTGCCGACAACAAACACAAATGTTTTGTGAATAACTGCACCTCCACTTCCTATGTACAGTACTGAACTGTACTGTGCTGTGCATTTTTACAAACAATAAACATGGCAAGATAAGCTATTAAAAAAAAAAAAAATTTCACTTTACTGTACAGTACCTCTCCTCGGCGACAGGGCGGGGGTCATCGGGCTCATCGTCACTCAATTCCATAACAGGTGGTGAAGTGGGGGCGACTGTGGATTCAGCTGCTTCCTCACTGCCGCCAGTGATTGATGGTGTTAAATCTTTCCTTCGGTGATCAAAGAACATGGTGATGGGGAGTTGTCGTCTCTTTCTTTTCATTTCTTCCATGATGTTTTTGTATGGAGCAAAAACGTCATCCATCCCTCGCATGAATTTCAGGGCACGCACCGTGGAGGGGTCCATACTATAGGCCTCAATATTCCTGGTCATCTCCCCCAACTTCTCCAACGTTATTTCTTGGTGCTCTTCCTCTTCCCCTTTCGCTTCCTCTTCCTTGCCTGAGTCTACTAACTCCTGTAGATCCTCCTCGGTCAGCTCAGTGTCGTGCTCTTCAATTAGCTCCCTAATCTCGTC